GTGAGAACTAAACCGCTGCCACCATTGTCGTAATTTCTGCTTCTTGCTATGTTTTTGTATAGTTTTAAAGCCAGCAAATACGAATAAACTCACAAAACTTGTGACTAAACTAAGGGATAAATAAATACGGCCGTCAAATCTGTTGTCTGTCCTCTCTCATCATTGGTAGCGTGAATAAATAATCAATAGTAGAAAATGATACTTTTATTAAACTTCTAGAACAGCCGATATGTTTCCATACATGTACAATATTCGAGCAACAATAATATAATTTACATACGGGGCGGAGCTACTAAAATAACATTCTTTCTCTTGTATTTTTGTACGGACCAAACGGGATCATCTTAATAAATTCTACAATGACAACGTAAATAAATGCAAGGCATACAGCTATCTGCGCTGCTTCTTACCTCTAGACTACGACCCTTACTTGTAATATAAACTGCGAGGCATACAGCTAAATGCGCTGCTTCTCACCTCTAGAAACCCCCGGGCTGAGCCTTGCTGCAAGCCAAATGTAAACACAGCAAAGACTGACGAACGTGACGTTGCACTGGTATTTATTTGAAATTCCCGGAAGTAAATATTCTAAGTAGGAAGAAAAACATAACGTCAAACGCTGACATAAAATATACAAGTCCTCGACTCAAAATGCTTATAACAATACACACATTTACAACACATGGCATGAATGTTCCTTATGAGATGTTGAACAAGTGTTGTTACTTTGCAGTCGGTCTATCATCCAAGATGGCCGCCAGCGGGGGACTTAGTTTAACATAGGACCCTATGGGAAATACATACAAATGTCTTCTTTTAGAGAACCACTGAATGGAATGAAACAAAACATGGCATGAATGTTCCTTATAAGGTGCTGACCAAGTGTTGTAACTTTGCAGTCAGTCCATCATCCAGGATGGTTGACAGCGGGGGACTTAGTTTAACATAGAACCCTATGGGAAATACATACAAATGTCTTCTCTTAGAGAACCAGTGAATGGAATGAAACCAAACATGGCATGAATGTTCCTTATAAGGTGCTGACCAAGTGTTGTTACTTTGCAGCCGATCCATCATCCAAGATGGCCGCCAGTGGGTGACTCAGTTTAACATAGGACCCTACGGGAAATACATTCAAAATGTCTTCTTTTAGAGAACCACTGGATGGAATGGAACCAAACATGGCATGAATGTTCCTTATGAGGTGCTGACCAAGTGTTGTTACTTTGCAGTCGGTCCATTATCCAAGATGGCCGGGGGGACTTAGTTTAACATAGGACCCTATGGGAAATACATACAAATGTCTTCTTTTAGAGAACCACTGAATGGAATGGAACCAAACATGGCATGAATGTTCCTTATGAGGTGCTGACCAAGTGTTGTTACTTTGCAGTCGATCCATCATCCAAGATGGCCACTAGGGGGGGGTGGGGGGGGGGGGCTTAGTTTAACATAGGATCCTATGGGAAATACATACAAATGTCTTCTTTTAGAGTACCACTGAATGGAATGAAACCAAACATGGCATGAATGTTCCTTATGAGGTGCTGACCAAGTGTTGCTACTTTGTTGCCGATTTACTGTTCAAGATGGCCACCAGGATATTTTATTAAATAACGGGACCAATTTTAATCCAAATTTGGCCTCAATCATTATTTGGGTATCTGTTATGATTTTTATCTATCTTTACATTATTTCTAAAACCAAAGTAGAGTCAGGTGAGCGACACAGGCTCTTGAGAGCCTCTAGTTATTTGAAGCGGACGATGTAAAATTTCCGCGAAACCTGTATTGTTTATTGACGTCATAAATAAAACTCTATGGAAACGCATTGTCAACATCATAAACAAGCCGATATACGGTCAGTGACTGTATATCACAAATGAATATAAGGTCAATTTGACTGCACAAATAGCACAGCTGCAGTATATATGTATTTATCGCTATTTTGTGTATTTTTCCTTGATCTTTTTATGATAATTTTCATATCATGCTACTCGCTTGAGATAGAAAATTATTGCTATAAACTAAGGGTTCACGTGCAATGTAAACATCACCGACGTCATAGGCAAAATAGCAATTAACAGATTATCACTGGTCTTTCAAATTCAAGGATGTTTATTGGCCACATCTCATCTCAGGACTTTCCCACTTCGATGAATTTGTAGCTGAGAAACACCCTCTCATTTGAAAAACCATCAATAATCTATAAATATATGGAGCAAATATCAATGACTGACAATGATACAACAACCCAACAACACAATGAGGCGAAAAAAAGAAAGATATTTAGAGGTAAAATACAGTCTTTTCAGTCTTTAACAGTAGACAGGTGTATACAATATTCATCCACCTATAAGTAGATGAACTCAGGTGGTCAAGAATGGCAATCAAATTCTGATCAACTAATGACACTACCTAGAAATAAGTCAAATTTGTTGATAAGAATATATACATAGATATAACAGTCCAACCTTGATAAGTTGAAGACAAAGAGACACAACAATACTATTTGACACTTCATGTTTGCGAGCTACATCATGTGTACCTCATTTCAATGTTGTAATGTGTAGTCAACTTGGTATACATGTAGGTGGAAGACAATTTTTATATCTCAATCAATGCATTGACAGTAGATGAAGTAATTAAAACAAATAGTTATTTCATAAAAAATGAAACAGAATTTACAGTACAGGTCGAATGTTTACAAAGATAGGGAAATATAAAATAAGGAAGTACTTGGGGAAGGAAACAAATAGTATGTTTAACTTTAACACTCACTTCCTTGCTACTATATGTAAAGGTAGAGGCATTATCTTTTTACATGACTTTTATAAGTTTAATTATAATTTTAATGATTCTTTCTTCTTTAATTGAATTTCTCGACTTAGGTCTTTTAATTTGTTCTGCAATTATCTCAGTTAAAACGTGTTCCACAAAGTCACAAACATAATATTGGGCTTGGTCAAACAACATAGGTGTTGATACACAATAAGTTTTATATGTCATTCTGATTGTTATACAAATAAAACCTAGAAATAATTATAGAATCTCATTTCGGTGCACACTAAGAACAGACAGATTCAATATTTTCAATCAGTATTTAAACTTAAAAAAGTTTTATTTTCCTTTATTGGCTTTAAAATTTTCTTGTAAATTTTTTTGTACTTCAATCTTCAACACATCAGGGTTAAGTTAGATGCATTTTTCTTCGAAGATACTTCTCAATATACTTTAGTTAACCAAGATTTCAAATCATCCACTCATCAGAATTAGAAATGCTTTTAACAAACAGGAATTTTACTGTGACTGACAAAATACCTTGACTTATCTATTAAGTCTGACATAACAAGGTTTGACTGAACATGTCTGACAATTCTATAGGATGGGCAATACTGCACAAATAAGATGATGATGATGATGATGATGGATGGCTGCTTAATGTCCAGCGGCAAATTAATCTGCACATTCAGGAAGCAAGCATGATAACGCAATATGAATATTATCCCTGCATTGTACTAGATATAGACCGACACGCTGAGCCGGATTTTTAACGCGCACAGATAAGAAAAAATTATAAAAGTCTTAAGATCTGTGCAATGATACTAATGTAATTATAAGATAGTAATGTACATTGTACAAACAAGATGTATTAATAAACTTAAACACTTAATGCATTAATATTACATTTGATAAAAACATCGACACTGAAGGTCGTTTGTTGAGCGAAATATTTGTCCCTGTAATTTTGTTACATCTTGTTCCTACAATTGTTAGTATTTATAGTCTCTTCTTTAACCCTAAAATATAACAAATGAATAAAAATGATAAACAGAAATGGTACGTTAATGTTTAGATGCTTTCCTGTAATTCTCTAATGCATTTTTAAGCTACATGTAATGATGGAATCAAAGAAACAGTTTAACAGTTAATTAGTACCTCGATGATTAATTTGGCCTATAATAATTAGCTTGTCTGTCAATGCATCCCTCCATGTTTCCGTATGTCTGTCCAGCACAAATAATTTTGGCTATAACTTATATACACCTTAGATTTAGGTTATGAAACTTAACAAGATTATTCACCAATACTAAAAGATGTGTCACCTTAAAGGAAGAAAATCCTACAATGAAGGTCACGGTAAAAAATTTAGTTCACCTAGACCCCTTATACACTGCCCATGTGAACCATGCTTTGCGCCCACAATTTAAAAACTAATCAAGTTGTTTGACATGCGTTTGATTAATATTCAATCATCACATGATAGCTGGAAGTGTTTACAAATTAATGCAGTATTACTTTATAATTTATGTTCAAAAATTCAATTAAACTTGTTTCAAACTTGTTTAAGCCTCAGTGTGAACATAGCCTTCAAGTCACCATTTCTGCATATGTACAAAAAAAAATTCCATTCTCTAACTTTCAAACAACTTGAAGTTGGGTATTGAAATTTGACCATATTGTTTTGCCACTTCTAGAAAGTGCCTTGGATACAAGGAAAAACCCTACAGTGAAGGTCATAATCAAAAACTTAGTTTAACTTAGGCACCCCTGTGCTTATGTACAAAAATTGTTTCTGCTCTCTAAGTTTCAAGTCCCTTGGAGTTTGGTATTGAAACATGGCATGATTATTCCCCAATACTAAAATGTGTGTGATGGTTAAAAGGAATAAAAAAAAAAAACGCAGTGTAGGTCATGATCAAAAACTTAATTCAACTTCGACATCCCTTGAATATGTAAAAAAAATGTTTCAGGTCTCTAACTTTTAAACCTCTTGCAGTTTGGGGATGAATTAGTCATGCATTGGAAAATTTAATTCTGCCTTCCTTGTGTTGAATAATCCAACACAATTTACTTGTTTGGATGCTTTCCTATGATTACTCCAGCAGGGCTGGCTGTGATGGCTCCCATACCCATCACTATTCTCCAGTTATTTTTTGGTATGCATGGTAGTGTTTAGATGTTTTCTATCATTAACTAACTTTGAAATACATATTTCAGTTAATGAAGGAATCTGAGAGACAACTAAACAGTTTATTATGTTTCGATATGGTAATGTTCAGTACAAAGGATATGCCAACAGTTGATATGCCTGTTTGGGAGATAGACAAAGAAGGGGTGTTACAAAGTATACAGCAACTACAGTGGAAAAAGTCTGGTGGTAATTGACTGATATCACTTTTGACAGCAAATGAATATTAGAAGATGTGGTATGATTGCCAATAAGACTACTATCATCCAAAGACTAAAGGATAAAGATACAATATATACTTGAGCATGTGTAAGGAACAATGAAATTAAGTTTGCTTCAGAAATTAAAAGGGGTTACGATCCAGTAAAGCAAATTTGAGTTAACACGAGATGAATTTGGTTTAATGATTCAAGTCCCATAACTCTATAAATAAATCTTATACTGTCAAAATCAAAATGGAGCTTGTCAAAATGGGAGAAAAGCTTGTTAAAAGTTTGCAAATATCCATTTAAGTATAGTGGAGTTACCTTTAAATAAGGTGTGCCAAAAATGTTCAAGTTTCAGATTAAAGTACAATTACTCTCGAGCAACTAATCTGAAATTCATTGAAATGAAAAGACAGCTTGTCATTATTTAATATCACATTGTCAAAAAACTTCAAGAATTTCTAAGGAAGAAGATTTTTCACTAGTCATACTTCAATGTGTCAATATCTCTGGAATGAAAAATTTGAAAATTGTAAAATGGAAAGGGAGCTTGTCTTTATGAAACCAAACATTGTGTAAAAACTATTCTTTTTAGGATATTTGATATAAATTAGAAATTTAATTTATTCTGCATTTTCAATTAATTTCAGATATATCACATAAAAGTTAAATATGGGACTTATTTGTCAAAATGTAAACAATTTTTTCTTTATCTGTGCAAATTCAGTTTTTCACCAAGCCTGTGAGATATTATAACGATCTTGCCAACTGTAAATACAACCTCTGTCTTAATTTTATCAGATTTGTTGTTCTGGATATATCATATGATTATTTGATTTTATTGTTTTCAAAATAAGACAGACATATGCACTCATGGCGCAGCTCTTAAAGCATAAAAATTATATTGTAACTTTATTTTCAAACTCAATTAAAAAGGAAAACTTTGTGCAAAATAATATTTTTGATATTCCGGGCTAAATGTTGTAACAGATTTGAGATTACTAATTTCTGTTAAAGGTACTATGCCAGATGAAATTTCGTCAGGACCTTCCTCTACACAGTCATCTAGACAGTCATCTAGAGAAGATGATTGCCTTCCTAAAACGACACAGTCATCTAGACAGTCATCTAGAGAAGATGATTGCCTTCCTAAAATGACGCAGTCATCTAGACAATCATCCAGAGAAAATGAATGCCTTTCTAATACGACACAGTCATCTAGACAGTCATCCAGAGAAAATGAATGCTTTTCTAATACAACACAGTCATCTAGACAGTCATCCAGAGAAAATGAATGCTTTTCTAATACGACACAGTCATCTAGACAGTCATCCAGAGAAGATCTTCCTAAAACTCCGCCAATATCTTTTGCACAATCACCTAGTTCTATGACATATAATGAAGGAACAGTCACCAGGTCAACTATGACTAAAAAACAAAAACCAAGGAATTTAGATCCCAGTCTAAGAAGAGTTTCAGAACAGGACAATATTCAACCAAATATTGTAGTTCCTAATATTCCTCCAGTATCAACCAATACATCAACAAAACCAACATCAGCCACATATACTCAACCATCATTTTCAAATGTTTCATCCGCTTCATTTAGAATAGCTCCTACTCCTGTTAGTATAAATTCAGCCTCAAATTTTGTGCCTATACCGAGAGGTGTTCGTGCTGCATCAGAGCCTGTTGTCCCTGGAAATGTGGTTTCAAGTTATAAACAAAATGTCATTACACCAAATCCTATGACAACCACAACATCTTGGTTTTCATCTACAGTCATACCATCAACTCCAAATGGTGAACAGAATATGATAACTGCACCTCCTTGTTCATCGGAAGCTTCTCAAAGGCTTATTCCAGCATCACATAGTAAATTTTCTAATAGTCAGCCAAGGACAACTACCACCTCCATAAACATACCAAAACCTAATGTTGGTTTTGTTGTTCCTAAAATAACGTCAGGTGCCGAAGCTGCAGGGTACTCGCCTCCAGGGCTAGAGACTTATGATAATGTATCTAAAGCTTTTCCTGTCCCAAGTACTGCAGATTTTATCCCTCAGACATCATCTGTTGCCACAGGGACAAATACTGTGCTACCCAACCGAGGTCTTCCTAGGAAACCTAAGACAGAATATGGTAATAAGAACAATAATTCTGTTGTAAATACTGCGACACTCATGGCAATGGTGTCCGACGAGGGAGATATAGGAGTTGATACTATTATAAAGTCAATGGAAACAGTCTGTCGAGGTGTCCGAGATGATTCTAACATACCATCTAATACCAATAACTTCCCCCCTTCTAGCAATGTAAATGTTCGTGTGGATAGGAGATTCAGTACAGGAAATGCCAATGTTCCGACACAGTCAAATTGTAATTTTAGAACAGCAAATCTGCCAACTATATCAGCTAGAGATTTTTCTCCAACAACACAGAATAGATCTATTTCTCCAAATTCTGGACCTAGAAGGACAGTTAGACCAAAGAAGAAAATATCTAGATGAAATTGTATTTTGAAATAGTTCTGTGATTATGATAAGATTTTGATTGCATGCAATATTTAGATATAAATATGTGAGTGTAATTATGGGCTTTTTTGCAACATATTCATTTCATGGTCTACATATTTAGTTCTTGTGCCAAAACATTTTGATAAGTCTACTGCTTGCTGTATTGATATTTAATTTCAGTAAGTTCTCTTATTTGAATATGCATGAAATATTTGCCACTGGACATTATGAAATTAATAATCAATCAGTAATTCCATTCTGAGAAGAGGCTAACTAGTCAGTGAGCAAAGTTCTGAACCCCAAAAAAATATTTCCATATAGATCTCTTCTGCTATTATATGATATATATCAGTTAAGTTATCCACATAGATCTCTTCTGCTATTATATGATATATATCAGTTAAGTTATCTACATAGATCTCTTCTGCTATTATATGATATATATCAGTTAAGTTATCCACATAGATCTCATCTGCTATTATATGATATATATCAGTTAAGTTATCCACATAGATCTCTTCTGTTATTATATGATATATATCAGTTAAGTTATCCACATAGATCTCATCTGCTATTATATGATATATATCAGTTAAGTTATCCACATAGATCTCTTCTGCTATTATATGATATATATCAGTTATGCTGTATTGTTTTCCATAAAGGAGAGAAAATTTTTGTTCCTGGAGACAAAAATCCACGTTAAAAATTTCAGCATTGTTTGTCAACACATAAAATTAAGTGACCTGTGATTTTCAAAGTATACTAGGATATAGCTGTTTAGGATATTTCTGTTTTTAGAACTGTTGAACTTTAACACTATATTTATTATTTGTTGGTAAGTTACAGCATGTACAGTAACAACATTCCGCTAAAACTTAGAACTGCAGGGTAAAATCATTATTACGAGCCGAAATTTGTATAATTTATATTAATTGATATCAGGTCTTCAGAGTCCTTTTTTTTCTTTTATCAGAATCTGTTTTTAGAGTTGCTGCAATTGTAAAGTACTTAGGTGCTATACTAGTGAAAAACTATATAATGTATGTCTCTTATCTAATAATCATCAGTGAAATGGAACACAGCCTTTCTGTCTTTAAACATTTCCAAACTGGTCTGAAGAATTTTTAAAGTTTAAAAAAACTTTTCTATTTAGATATTGTATGTTATCTAGAAGCTGTATACCAATCAATGGCCATGGTTGGTACAAATGGAACATTTTCTATTTTTGTCGAGCCTTCGACTTTTGTCGAAAAAGCGAGACATAGCGATCCTACATTCCGTCGGTGGCGTCGTCGTCGGCGGCGTCCACAAATATTCACTCTGTGGTTAAAGTTTTTGAAATTTTAATAACTTTCTTAAACTACCCTGGATTTCTACCAAACTTGGACAGAAGCTTGTTTATGATCATAAGATATTATTCAAAAGTAAATTTTGTAAAAAAAAAATTCCATTTTTTCCGTATTTTACTTATAAATGGACTTAGTTTTTCTGCCAGGAAACATTACATTTACTCTGTGGTTAAAGTTTTTGAAATTTTAATAACTTTCTTAAACTATCCTGGATTTGTACCAAACTTGGAAAGAAGCTTGTTTGTGATCATAAGATAGTTTCCAGAAGTAAATTTTGTAAAAAAAAAAATCCATTTTTTCCGTATTTTACTTATAAATGGACTTAGTTTTTCTGCCAGTTAACATTACATTCACTCTGTGGTTAAAGTTTTTAAAATTTTAACAACTTTCTTAAACTATCCTGGATTTGTACCAAACTTGGACAGAAGCTTGTTTATGATTAAAAGCTAGTATCTAAAAGGAAATTTTGTTAAAATTTTGTTCCATTTTTCCGTATTTTACTTATAAATGGACTTAGTTTTTCTTCCAGTTAACATTACATAACAGTCGGCAGTTTAAGTTTTTATTTTAAAACATTTATTAGATTCATAAACTATCCTGGATTTTTCCCAAATTTGGACAGAAGCTACTTACAATCAAAAGATAGTATAGAGAGGAATATTTTTATTAATTTTTTTCCTCATTTTTGTTGAGCCTGTGATTAACAGCAAAAGTAGGCGAGACACTGGGTTCCGCGGAACCCTTACAAATTTTTGGATTATGTAGAGACGGAATAAAACTATTAATTTCTTTTTCTTCAAAACTATAGATAATCATTTTTGACATTCCTGAATCATTCATTGTTTTGGTTATATGACCACAACTAAATGGCAACCATGAATGATAATTGCAGTAAAAATTGAAAACAAAATAGTGAAATTTCAACTTTTCTTTTAGTAATTAATTTATCAATGTACTACAAGCCAATTTTTTGATTTCCTTAGAGAGCTTAAGGAGTCAATATTAATTATATTTGTACCTTCAATAGTACATTTCAACCAATAAATGAATCTATTTAATTGTATGTCTAAAAGTCTCAAGAGATAAATCTCTATGTATTCTAAATCTAAAAAAAATCAGTAAAATTCTACGGAAGTCAGGATTGAAAAATTTGGTTTTAGACCAACGCACACTCACATAGCGAACAGCTATTGCATTTTGTGGGTTTGTATTGTTAAGATTTTACAGTACTTTTAACAATGTAAACCCAAACTCCAACTATTATATAATTTTTCCTTCCCAGCATGTGAATTTTGTTTTGTGCTTTCTGTTTTTTTGAAATACATGTTCATGACATCAAGAAATGTTCATGACATTACCACACGAATGCAAATTGTTGCTTATTTTTTTTGAAAGTTTGTGCTCCCTTTATGTTATACATGTATTTACAATTTATGAACTAAAATGCAACTGCACACATATCTTTTCTTAGTTATAACATATTTTATTGTTGAAATAATACATGACAAAAAGATTGGACACAAGTTATATAATTTAGAAATGTAGTCTCTGTCACTCTTTTGAAAAATTACTTAAGAATTGAATGAGATACTGTAAATTCAGAAATTATTGTGTGCATTTATTATTGCGATTTTTGAAGAATGGACTAAAATGCAAGATTAATTATTGCGATTTCAGGAAAATCTGCATACAGATATAAGTATTAGATATCAAAATGCGGGTTCTTATTATTGCGATTTTCATCCACTCGCATTATTCGCATTACTAAAAACCTCACAATAATTTCTGAATTTACAGTACACAGAATCTCAACAAGTTATCTCCCTTATTTAAAGGTAAGTAGATGTATGTTTTTATCTATTTAACGATTGATGATCTATTTATTACATATAAGGGTTTCAAATATTCAACCACAGATTTTTACTACAAAACTGTAAAGTATTTCCCTTTTGGAATTTCTACACAATAATCTATTGAAAGTTGATATATATTTATTGAACATTATTATGCAATGTAATATTTTATGTATATATAATTTACACTTTGTTGAGCCGATTTTCTGGTTACTTTTTGACTTGTTACGATTTGTTTACATTTTGTTTAAAAAGCAATTGTATTGTTATGGTTATTCTATGCAGCTTATGATATTTCTGAGTTATACATTACAATGTAAAATAGCATTTAAAAATTAATTATTATGTTTAGAATATGTTATTTTTTTGCAAAGTGGTGCTTTTTATTATTATTTATTTCAACCAAACTGTGCTGAAGATTAGTAACTCATTTTATTTAACTGTTTTCATTTAGCATCAAGTACTGATTCATGCCCCTTTTTGAGGCCACAATTCTTTTACTTTATAAAAATATTGAGATGTGGAATTGTCAATGAGACAACTATCCACCAAAGACAGAAAATTACAGGACAAAATTAAGCAAAACATCTACCCTATAGTATTTTTTCACAAGCAAGAGATTTTTTCTTTGAATTATCTTTCCTTAGTTAGAAGCAAGATATATATAAAAATAATTGTTTGATTCTATGTTGAAAAATCCTTTAAATTTTTATGAATAGAGAAGATTTGGAAAAAGCCAATGAAGCAACCAAACAACACAAAAACTCAAAAGATAGACATTTTGTTTTATTGTAAAAAAAATTGGCACATCGTTATTTCAATTATTAAAAAAAGCAAAACTTTGAAAGGGGAATCAGCCTCTCATTTATAATGCTGTTTTTTTGGGGGAAAAACTGTAAATAGAGTCAAAAACTGGTGCAGAAAAAGGATTAGCCATGGCCTGAGATGTGAAAATGAAAACAGTCAGTGCTTTTACTTGAAAACAGTGCTACTACTAAGAAAAAAGTTTCTCTAATTCTTACCCGATTTATCCTTTTCCTGACCTGTTGATTATTTTTATTTAATCAACGTGTGGTTCGTTTGATCTCAGTTCTTCATTGGTCAAAATTGGATTATGACACCAAGTTTTCTTGCTTTCCTCTGAATTTCCTATTGTGACATCATGAAAAAAGGCGACCATGCCTGATAACGTCACATAGAAAGAACACATCTTTTTGCAAATCTTTCGAAAAGAAGGAATAAGGTTGTCTATATATCTCCCAAAAGTCATTATAGAAACAGATTCCACCACCAAATCTTGTGCAAAACGATATTTATACACTCGACAGTTAAAATTTAAATATTTAAAAACACTTGGCAAGCCTCACGTTTTAAATTTGAAAATTTAACTGTCTAGAGTGGATAAATATCGTATCACATGTAGTGCAGTGGTAGAATCTATAAAATACTTTTAATTTAGATCTGAAACAAATGGATCATTTTATTTATTCTATGTAATAGTCTTATAAAGCTTTCAGCATTTGTTTTATTGTGCTTTGTTAATAGTATTGAAAAGAACTGACAATTCTGTCATTGATTCATTTGTTTTTTTTCATGTATGTATTGTAAAGCAGTGTGGAACATTCAGTTGAAACAAGTACCAATAAATTCTGAACAATTGTTTCCATTTTACAAAATGTAAAAACATGGTCTTCAATGTTTTTATGCATATGATTTACACTCATGCAATGAAATTTCATGCATGCAAGTACTTTTTGTAATATCGTTTAATATACAAATTTTGCAATATTAACCTTTTCCCCTTGCTCTTTTGAAGGGCTTTCAATCATCCAGAAATAGAATTTTAGTTCTAACAAATGTGTTCTGCTGATATCTTCCCATTTTCACTATCGGCTATTAATTCTGGTCACATGTTTTACTAAAGTAAGATTTAGCATTTGATTTATATAGTCAGAGGATCCACTGGTGTCAGTCAGAATCTTACTTGTTCAAATGAGAGTAAAATTAACTTGAGATACATTTTTTTGCTTCTCCAAGTAAAAATATGCAGACTACACTTTTAATTAGAGTTCCCCCCCCTTTTTAAATGTTACCATTATCTGTAGTAGTCTAACTTATAAAAGTAAGTGTTGAAACTGTAGTGTGCATCTTTCATTTGTCAGACTGAAACCACATTTTTTTTTTTAAAGAGAACAGCAACCCAACCAGGGAAATTTTGTTCATCAATTACCCTTTAGTATAAAAAAACAGGGTTTCAGAAGTCACCAAAAGCAGTGCATTTAAGTCTGGAAAAGACAATTTTTTATTTATGATGTACCATCTCAAGATATTTTTTGTCATATTTAATGGCACTTTTTTGTTATTTCATGTGGTACATTTGTGATCAATAAAGTATTATAGCTGTAAATAAAATAAATGTAAACAGCATTATTACATACATGTATATGAGTGTGTTGGATCTTACTTGTAAAGGTTAAATCTGACTTTGATAAGTAATTTAAACCTTTTTTTTAACAAGTAAGAAATATTCAGACTTACACAAGCTGATCCCTTGACTGTTATATATATATGAAAAATTTCCTAGGTATCATATAAAAAGAAAAATAGTAGTTTTCTTGTAACTGAATGTACACTAAAATATCAGTTAGTCACATTAAACAAAAAGTATTTTACTAATGGTCCCAGCTTTTGCTGAAATCATTTTATTGAATTGTATGCATGTTTTTTTCTTTGGCTCTATAATGGCTGTTGTTGCCTTGATTTTTCTGTTAATAAATATTAGAATGGGAAAGTTGACATTGTTCTACAGTTTGTACTGGTATTTAACAAATAAAATTTGTTAAACATAAAAGAGAGTTGTTTCATTTAATATCAATTGAGTTGAGAAATTGTTATTAGATCTTTCCCATAAATAGGTCTTTATAATCTACCAACTATTGGGTTATTTTTGTGTTATTTTCCATTGTGCAACGTGTTGCAGGGGACATAGAAATACCAGGCGTCCGTCCATTTGTCAGTAGGTTTATATTAGCAATATCTTGGACGAGTTCCAAAATCAGTGCTGATCAATTATTTTTATACGACCGCGCGATCGTATATTGGTATCACGTCGGCGTGGTCCAAAGACATTTGGTTTCCGGACAATAACTTAAGTTTAAGTGTATGGATCTCTATGAAATTTGAGCACAAGGTTCAATACCACAAGTAGAAGGTTGTGATTCATTTTGGGGTCAATTGCCCAAACCGTTCAGGAATTAGGGGCCAAAAAGGGTCCAAAACAAGCATTTTTCTAGTTTTCAGACAATAACTTGTGTTTAAGTGTATGGATGTCTCTTAATTTGTACCACATTTTACAAAAAGAAAATTTCTTCAAAATTATTTTTTTTTGGAAAAGGGGGGGGGGGGGGGGGGTAAACAAAAATTTTGGGGGAGGGGGCAATTTTTTTTTCCTCAAAAGAAAATTCTCTTCAAATATTTTTTTTTGGAGGAAAGCGGGGGGGGGGGGGGGGGGGGGGGGTAATTGAAATTTTTTTGGGGGGGTTTATTTTTTTATCTCAAGTTTTAAGAAATTGTCAATTTTCTAAAGAAAAAAAAGACTACATTTATTCTGTGTCAGAAACCTATAATGTGTCAAATATTTAATTACAATCCAAATTCAAACCTGTATCAACCTTCAATATTGTGTCCATTTTTGCCCCAACTGTTCAGGGTTGGACCTCTGCGGTTGTATCTAGCTGCACTCGGCGAAGCAGTTTATTAAAAGAGTTAGGCCCCTTGGAAACATTAATTATATGGAAAATTGCATCGTTAGCGCTCTCATGTGTACAATTCTTGCCAGATTTTTATTAAACTTGTATCATAGGTTTATATTAGCAATGTCTTGGACGAGTTCAAAAATCAGTGCCGATCAATTATTTTTAAAAGAGTAATGTTCCTTGGAAATATTGATTATATGGAAAATTGCCTTGTGAGTGCTCTAATGTGTACAATTCATGCCAGATCTTTATGAAATTTATATTACAGGTTTATATCATCAATGTCTTTGACGAGTTCCAAAATCAGTGTTGATCATTCTTTTTATAAAAGAGTTATGCCCCTTGGAAACATTAATTATATGGAAAATTACATTATAAGCGCTCTCATGTGTAGAATTCTTGCCAGAATTTTATGAAACTTTATCATAGGTTTATATCAGCAATGTCTTTGAAGAGTTCAAAAATCAGTGCCGATCAATTATTTTTAAAAGAGTAATGTTCCTTGGAAATATTGATTATATGGAAAATTACCTTGTGAGTGCTCTAATGTGTACAATTCATGCCAGATCTTTATGAAATTTATATTATAGGTTTATATCATCAATGTCTTTGACGAGTTCCAAAATCAGTGTTGATCATTTTTTTTATAAAAGAGTTATGCCCCTTGGAAACATTAATTATATGGAAAATTACATTATAAGCGCTCTCATGTGTAGAATTCTTGCCAGAATTTTATGAAACTTTATCATAGGTTTATATCAGCAATGTCTTTGACGAGTTCAAAAATCAGTGCTGATCAATTATTTTTAAAAGAGTAATGTTCCTTGGAAATATTGATTATATCGAAAATTGCCTTGTGAGTGCTCTAACGTGTACAATTCATTACAGATCTTTATGAAATTTATATTATAGGTTTATATCATCAATGTCTTTGACGAGTTCCAAAATCAGTGTTGATCATTTTTTTTATAAAAGAGTTATGCCCCTTGGAAATATTGATTATATGAAAAATTGCATTGTTAGTGCTCTCATGTGTACAATTCTTGCCCGATTTTTATGAAATTAATGTTTTTAGTTTATATCATCAATGTCAAATTTTAAAAATCAGTGCTGATCAAATATTTTTAATGATTTATGCCCCTTGGAAATATTAATTATAACAGAAATCGCATTGCATTTGCTCTGAAGCCTTCATATCTCTAAGATATTTTTGAAAAGTTTTAAAGAACAAAAAATGTGTTTTTATTTCCCCGCAACTGAAAGTTGGGGCATATTGTTTTACCCCTGTCCGTCCATCTGTCCGTCTGTCCCATTATGGGTATATAGTTATTCCAGATAAATAAATACTTGCATAAGAGGTGCATAATGTTTACAGATAAATCCTCCTACAGTTTGAATGCTAGGAAGTTTTTACTTTGCTGGCTGTTTGTACATATATTGAAGGTTTGAATGTGGCTAGGGTTTTGATTTTTATCGATATTTGCTCTTTTGGGAAAAAGTTGAACTTTGTCATTTTTGGAGTATATACTTGCATAAGAGGTGCATAGCATTTCCGGATAACTCCTCCTACAGTGAACCATAGACCTATGTGCTCCCATGCTCAACATTGTGTATTTTAAAATAACACTTTGCATCTGGGGGGGGGGGGGGGGGGGGGGGGCATAATTTGTGTCTCCCAGACACAATAATATCTCAAAGAAAGTCCTACATTGACTTTGTTATAATACAGTTACTTCAGAGTGGAGAGTTCGGGCATCACTGTCTAGTTTTAGTTATTATCCTTGTACCTTGGATAGATAAAATATGTGCAACGTTGAGGCGAAATTGGAACTCTGTGTTCTTGTATGTTTTGTGTGCAACTTGGGTCTTAAATAGGGCAGTTAAATCTTTTTGCCATGTTCTTTATTAGAGGCCTTAATCTGCAAAGCATTTGATGAACAGTTAAATGTTTGTGTGGGGTAAATGTCAAAGTAAAAGATCTACTGCCAAGCAAAAATTAGAACCACCAAAATTCCTAGATATATGGTAAAATGTATTTATTTGTTAACATTGGGAAGAAACAATTGTATGTCAACAAAGAATAAAATTTTCCAGTAAATTTTACCTCCTACTGCATATTATTGTATATGATAATCTAGAAGCACAATCTTTTATGAAGGATGAGATACAGGTGCACTGGCATTAATTATTCCACTTTATTTTATCTGAACATGGTTCAATCATCATAACATGTACTTAATTATGAAAAAGAGACATTAACAGTAACTGTATGATGACCTCTAGATGTCCGGATTAGTTTCCAAGGTCACTTTATCATTGATTTCTTCACCGAATTTCGGGTATCCTACATATTTTACACTATCTATAGAAAACCCAATAATCTGTTTATTGTTCTATTACTGTGTTTTTCCCCTCTCTCAGACAGTTTTACACTTGACGAAAGCAAGCTTATTAACATCTCCTCACACATTATAACATTGCTGATCAATTCTACTCTGACATTGTGACCTTGCTGATAATGCCTGCGCACCTTCTAAAGCTGTGATGTGAGAACTAGAGTGACTGAGTAGGAAGATAAAGACAAAGTGAAGGTCGATAAGGCCAGTCACATGACAAGTCAAAATAAACTTTAAAACCAAGTAATTTGGCTGGGAAGCTGACAATAGGTCTCATACTATAACATGAATTCAATGATATTTGGTATGCAGTTGTATAAGAACTGGCACATCTCATTTCCATGAAGATAATTTGGCCTCGTCCCCTCAGACATGGTCATGAAATTTTACCATAGTTAACATGTGAAAGTTTGTGATTAGGTCAGTGTGAAGGGAACCTGATGCAACCCTTCACAAGTTACTTACAAACTAACACATAACAGAAGATTCAGTTTAAAACAGAACATTTGAATTATAAACCAACCTTTTTGAAAGAGGCATTTAATTTTGTTATCCACTACTCTACCAGCACGTTGCAGAAGGGTAGGAGGGGCAGCATAGATGTTATTTTGATAAGATTGAAACATAAACATACAAGATGATATCTACTGTATTATGCATACTGCATGAACACCAGTAATTTTTATACGACCGCAAAAATTAAAATTTTTTTGGTCGTATATTGGTATGACGTTGGCGTCGTCGTCGATGTCGTCGTCGTCTGGCGTCGTCCGGCGTCGTCCGAAGACACATTGGTTTTCGCACTCTAACTTTAGTTTAAGTGAATGGATCTCAATGAGATTTTACCATAAGGTTCAATACCACGAAAGGAAGGTTGGGATTGATTTTGGGGGTTATGGTACCAACAGTTAAGGAATAAGGGGCCAAAAAGGGGCCAAAAATAAGCATTTTTGTAACTTCCAGACAATAACTTGTGTGTAAGTGTATGGATCTCTCTGACATTGTACCACAAGGTTCCATATCACAAAGGGAAGGCTGTAATTGATTTTGGGGGTAATTGCCTCAAAATTGTAGGAATTAGGGGCCAAAAAAGGGGCAAAAAACAAGCATTTTTCTAGTTTCATGACAATAACTTGTGTGTAAGTGTTTGGATATTTCTGAAATTGTACTACAAGGTTCCATATCACAAAGGGAAAGCTGGAATTGAGTTTGGGGGTAATTGCCTGAAACGTTTAGGAATTGGGGGCCAAAAAGGGGCCAAAAATAAGCATTTTTCTAGTTTCCTGACAATAACTTGTGTTCAAGTGTATGGATCTCTCTGAAATTGTACTGCAAGGTACCATACCACAAAGGGAAGGCTGGGATTGAGTTTGAGGGTGATGAATCATAAGGGGGTTCAAAGAATTTGGAGGGGGGGATTTTTTTTTTTTCTTTTTTTTTCTTTTTTTCCTTTTTTTTTTCTTTTAAAATTTTCCATTTTAAGTTGGTTATTTCTGATTTATATTTAAAAGCAAATTATAATGATATGGTAGGAGATACACACCAAACAGGATGTGTAAATTATTATATAATAAGTATTGTGCAATAGCAAGAAATTTTCAATTGCACAGTATTGCACAATAGCAAGAAATCTTCAATTGCACAGTATTGCGCAATAGCAAGAAATCTTCAATTGCACAGTATTGCGCAATAGCAAGAAATATTCAAAAGCACAATATTGCGCAATAGCAAGAAATTGTCAATTGTACAGTATTGCGCAATAGCAAGAAATATTCAATTGCACAGTATTGTGCAAAAGAAGATACTTCGTATAAATTGCTTATTTCTTGATCAATTTCAATGGGGTTTTATTCTTGAATTCTTGGGGTCTTTAATATGCTGAATCTAACCGTGTATTTAGTTTTTGGATTTTGGGCCCCGTTTTTAAATTGGTCCACATTGAGGTCCAAAGGGTCCAAAATTTAACTTTGTTTGATTTCATCAAAAATTGAATTATTGGGGTTCTTTGATATGCCGAATCTAACAGTGTATTTAGATTCTTAATTTTTGGTTCCGTTTTCAAATTGGTCTACATTAAGGTCCAAAGGGTCCAAAATTAAACTTAGTTTGATTTTAACAAAAATTGAATTTTTAGGGTTCTTTGATATGCTGAATCTAAACATGTATTTAGATTTTTGATTATGGGCCCAGTTTTCAAGTTGGTCCAAATCGGGGTCCAAAATTAAACTTTGTTTGATTTCAACAAAAATTGATTATATGGGGTTCTTTGATATGCTGAATCTAACCATGTATTTAGATTTTTGATTTTTGGGCCCCGTTATCAACTTTGTCCACATTGAGGTCAAAAGGGTCCAAAATTAAACTTTGTTTGATTTCATCAAAAATTGAATTCTTGGGGTTCTTTGATATGCTGAATCTAACCATGTATTTAGATTTTGGATATTGGACCATAATAGGTGAATGTCCAATTTAAAATTTTTAAGTTCTTAGACCACATTCATTCTGTGTCAGAAACCTATGCTGTGTCAAATATTTAATCACAATCCAAATTCAGAGCTGTATCAAGCTTGAATGTTGTGTCCATACTTGCCCCAACTGTTCAGGGTTCGACCTCTGCGGTCGTATCAAGCTGCGCCCTGCGGAGCATTTTATTATGCTTGCGACCAATAGTTAAGGAAGCCAAATCAAATTGTTGACCATTAAACTAGAAGGGAACTAAACAGGAAAGTCAAATATGTATGTGGTCAACTTTGCCTCCAGAAGTGATAAGGTCAGTTTAAAGGGAACCACTTGTTGAAGGTCAATAATATTTGGTATATAGTTGTATAAGAGCGGACAAATCTTATTGCTGTGGAGATTATTCAGCCACGCCCCCTCAGTCATGGTCTTGAAATTTTTGCATAGTTTACATGTTCAAGTTTGTGATAAAGTCAGTGTATTAAAGATAAACAACTACTTGCAAGTATCAGAGTTGTATTAGAATATGCACATCTCATTTCCATGGAGATCATGCGGTACCACCCCTTCATCATGGTTCATTGACTTTTGCATAGTTTACATGTTAAAAGTTGTGTAGGTTGTGTAGGTAAGTTCAAGGGAACTACAAAAGATAAGTCAACGATATTTGGTATGCAGTTATATGACCATTGCCATTCTTATTTCAACAGATGTAATTTGGCCATGTACCTTCAGTTATGGTTCATTACCTTATAAAACTAAGGAGATGTGGTATGATTACCAATGAGACAACTGAGTTCAAATGAAGTGGATGTAAGCAATTATAGGCAACCGTACAGCCTTCAACAAAAGAAAAACCCACAACATAAGAACAAAATATAAAAATCAGTTGAAAAGGGCTTAACTCATAAGATCTATACAAAACAGAAAAACATCCAACAAAAACACAATTTTAATATCAAAATCTGCATTCTACTCAGATTACATAAAGGCAAGACACGTCTTACAAGTTTATTTATTCTTTCCTTTCATAAAACCTGCTGGAGCATATAGATATACCATTGTTTGTCCTACCTTGAAGACCATATGCGCTTTTACCATTATTTGGAATTTCGTCCACTATGGTCTTATCTTTTTTATGTTTTATTCTTCTTAAGAACCACTGATTCAAATCTATACGGGAAAGATTGAGTCCTATGCAAGTTCAATTTAAGCTCAACTTATATAACCAATCCATATTTTTAAGCCGGTCCCAAGTCAGGAACTTTGTCAGTGATTGTCTCTAGTTTTGTTGTAATTTTTTGCAGCAGTTAGGGATTTATAGGTTGAGTACTGTGGATTCATTATTATTCGTGGGATACAAATTTTCCTAGATTTCATGGGTATAGATAAACAATGAATTAAATGTTAAATTAAGTAAAATTTTCTGTAGGCTTGTTTTAAGTTATTTTCAAAAACCATGAAAATAGTTTTTCCTCAATCTACGAAAAAAATTAACACCCACAAAACAAGTGACACTGCGAGCTACTGCTCACTGATGATACCCCCGCCCAAATACTTGACGGTAAACAGGAAATTGTTGAGTGATGAATCTGAAAACGCATCACACAGTATAGCTGAATTGTATATAATCCCTGAAATCAAATTTCAGAAATCCTTGTAATGTAGTTCCCTAGAAAAAAGTGACGAAAATTTTCAACTTGGATGTCATGTGTAAAATGATGTAAGTGATTTTATGAAACTTATAAACAATGCTTAGAACCACAAAACGTAGACAGAGTTAGAATTTGGGAGTCATTCACCATTCTAGAGTTATGCCCCTTTTTAACTTACAAAAATGCTAAGCTTGAGTTTGGGCATTTGTGTCCTCAGACACATTCTTCTTTTATTTACTTTAACTTGCCATGCATACAATTTTAAAGGATTTTTTCCTTTTGTTCACGGAATCTTTCTTAAATAATCACCAGCCATCAAATTTAATAGAAGAGCATTCCAACTCCACATACCATCAATTCTAGAACAGCCTTTAACCATAATGAGACAAACATGCATGTTGGTTCTCCTTTCAATTTGATATAACATCATTAAAAATATCAAGTAAACACGTTTTGTTTATTTTTATTACTATAAAACTCTACATAAATAAATGTAATAATATAAATATAACTGCATAGGAAAAAAAAATCTTGCAAAATATATCTACAATCTGTTTCCAACCCTGGTGAACCTGGTCAATAAAATATCATATTCTGTTTCAACTATAAAAAAAATTATAAAAAAAAAAATTTATCAAAAGTTTCTTCCTTTTTTATTATAATACTCTTAGTGTTTTTAAATAAACAAAGTTTGAAAAAAAATAAACCTGAAATCAGAAGTGCAGAAAATGATTGCATTTACCTCCCCTTGCTTAAACAGAATATGAAATTTTACATCATTTTCCAAATTTTGTGAGAAAAATCAATGAAATTAACAAACAAATCATGGTTCTCTAAAATATATTCACTTTCGTATGCACACATAAACATAAATCTAAAAACCCTATTAATATTTTTGTTATTTTTGTAAAAATTCCAAAACAGATCTATCTCAAACTTGAGGTATAAACTACACACTAACAAAAATATTCTACGATAATGAGAACATGATTAATATAAAAACAATTATTAAAATATCACAAGAAAACAATGTTCAACAAAAAAGATTATACTGAAATGGCTAGAGTTTTGGACGGAACCCTCTTCTAAATTCACAAAAAGTGTAAAAATCTAATAATATCTTACTTAAATTGTATAAAAATAAAATAAGTATCACAGTTGTATAAGTTTGGTCCAAGAGCACCTTCACAGAATGCTATAGGGGTTGTCCTCTTAAATTTCCCTATTTGAACTGATTGACTAAGAATGTTTTATAATGTCTTGCATGATTTTACCCCTTATCAAATTTTTGATTATCCTAATAAAAAATCAACAAACTACATTTAAAAAGTAATAATATTTTAGGAATGTCAACAAAAAATCTTACTTCTCAGTAACCATGGTAACAATATTAAAGCACTAACAAGTAAATATAAATAAATTAAAATATATTTTTATAACTGAATATGTGTGAACTGTTACATTGTTGTGTGAATGTCATTACTAAATGTTAGAAGGACTTTTTGTTAATGCTGTCTGAAATTTTCATGATGCGCATGTTAAGAAGCAGCAAATGGTTAGGTGTATGTTGTTAAATATCAAATTCTTGTTATTCAAATTGGTCTTATATGAAATATTCAAATTTAAGAAGAAAAGTTTTTCAGCATTTTCTACACTCTGCAAACTATGTAGATGCATAATTTTTAAAATCCTTGCTTGTATTTGATGGGAAAGAATAGTTTCAGAATTAATACTTTTATATACTTTTTAATTGTTTCCTGGTTGATATTGTATTCACTTTAGATTTTAATCAAAACACACATACAAAAATCTTTCTTTTATATTTGCTTTACTTCAGAACCCTTGCTACAATACAGTTTTTCACATTTAACAGACACAAAACCAACATCCCCTGCTACAGTACCAAGATAAAATTTGACCGTCTGCAACAAGTCACATGACAATACCAAATATAGACATGTATGTCTGCAACAGGTCACATGACATTACCAAACAAATAAATAAATGTCAATAACAACATTAACAAATGGTATCAACATATCTGTATATTGTCAACTAAATAACATGGATTATCTGTTTACTTCCATCTAGAATAGTGGATCTGAAATGTCAAGGTCAAATGTTAGATCACACCACATGAGCATATGTGACTCTGTAACAAATGTTAAGTGTTAGGATGGCTTATGAAAATTCACAACAAAAATTTAAAATGTTAAACCTTTACCATTAATTTTATCAAATATTATTTGAATTTCAATAAACTATATGTTATGAAATTAGTAAAGAGTGCAAACTAGTATGAAGCACACAATCAAAAGAATTTTAACTTTTACTAAAAACTGACTAATGGCTTGCATTATTTTAAACAAAAAGACTGTGTCTAAGTTTGTGTGTAAATTTGCAGATGATCTTTTAATGCACATTTAAATTTCAAAACCAACATTTTTTCTGACCATGCTCACAAACTATTTGACATTATAATAAGTGTTAAATCCATTCATAAAAGTATATCAAAGAAAAAGAAATAAACACATGCATAAAAAAGTAGGTTACAAATAGACAATAAAAATGCTGTGCAATTTAGATAAATAGGTTATATACAAATTGCTAGAAAATGACATTCTCAAATCCCAGGGTCTTCATATTTTCAAAATTTGCCTAATTCTTAAAAATCATTTAAAATTCCTTTGGTGTTCACTGATAAAAGAACTTTAAATGACATTAAAGGTGCAGTTTGTGCAGCTCAAATGAAACATGTTAAGGCAAAGTGAAGAATTTAAAAAAAATAATTGGACGTCACACAAAAGTGCATAAGATACAAAGGATTACATATACAAAGACAAGATGGATAATGAAGTTTGCAGTGCAACTATGGAGAAATTCTAAACAGATAGCCACAGTCTACGAAGTAAGAAGTCTCTTCTACAACCGACCTGAACTATACGGACTTGCAATTCGTCGTGGACTTGGGGAACGACTACGAGCCATACGAGATGGGCTCATTGAACGAGAACGGGATCGTGTACGTATACTTGGGCTAACAGAGCGAGATCTGCTTCTGCTTCTCCTACTAGCTCCCTGAAAACAAAAACAAGGCATGAAATTAATATTGTTTTTTTCAAAGTTGACAAATCAATTGAATCTCACAATCTACCAAATTAAGGGAATTTTCAACTGCATAAGTCTCCTCAATTCCGCCTTATGTTTAGAATACCAGCAGTATGATTTACCATAAACATTTTTTTTATAAAAAGAACAGCATTGATAAAATGATTAAAATGAATAAGTCTTGACAAGCTTCAAATATGTAAAAATTGTGATAAAAAAGTTTAAAAACATTAAATTAAAGCTAAATATCTACTATTAGTAAAGTGTTGAACCTCATTTCTTACGGAATCCAAGAATTAAATGAACATTTTTTTAAATGTATTTCAGAACTATAAGCTTATTTAGGTTAGAATGTTTGGTTTACAAAGCTATCAAAAAGCAAGCACAAGCCTTTTCCTCTACTTTATGACCATATTACAGTATGTGAGTTCTGATGAATCTCATTTGCCTACATATCAAATTTTTTCAATAAATCCTTTAAAGGGAAGCTTAAAGTTTGTGCACTTAGTAGTCTAAGATTGAAATTTAATAGGGTTTAGACTAATTTTACTAGTTTATTTCAATAAGTGTAAACATTTTGATTATATAGAGTTTAAAAAATAGTCAAAAGAACAATTATTTACATCAAAACATTTTTTCATAGCCTTGTTAAAAAGCAAGAAAACAATTTAGAATATTTATAAAATAAATCTATTATTATGCCTGCTGATAAGCTATCTACATAATAATAGTAAAAATAAAGGATGACTAGTTGAAATTATAAAATAATTCATTAAATGCAAGAATCATAGATGCTTATCATTAGTGAAACTCCAAGTTAAACCAATTTTATAACATTATTATAGGGAAAATGAGGTTCAACTATATTGACACATTTTTAATATTCTTTCACCAAAAAAGTGTACAAAAAATAAAATTTATTTAAAAAATGTTTACCTCAATACGGTAATACTCTACTGGCTGTCATAAAACACAAAAAAAAAACAACAACAATTGAATATTTCATCAAAAGATTCCTGTAAAATGTGTTTACAGTGTAACTAGTTTTTGTCATATTTACGTTGTACGTTAGACAATATAATATGCTATCTTTTATTTTCTAAAAGACAATATCATGTGACTATCCTATATACTTAGATGATGTATGAAGTGATGAAGAGAAGACAATTAAGGCTTTAAAAAATATGCGTGTTTCCATTTGGATCAAAGTTAGGTCAACAAAATTTTCAACATTTTTCAGATTTTTAAAAATAAACATATAAAGGCAAGGACTTTTACTTTACTGGTTCTGCAATTTATCACAATTTATTTCAAAGTTACAAAAGAGAATGGTCAGGAAACACACATTTTTTTATTTGGCCTAAAATATTTAAAGGAATGTAGACAATTTCAAACATAGGGATGAAAACTGCAACCACAATGATTATATGAAGTGCAAGTGTTTTTACACAGTTAGTAATATCTTTAGATTTTCCCCTTGTAGATAAAAATATACTTCTATACCAGATAACTTCCAAAATTTTGGCCAAATTTCAAATCAAATTTAAGTCTCACTGATTTAATAAATAGTTGTTTAATAAACATCAACACTTTAAATAATTAAGTTTCTACTATATGTGCACTGTAGATTGTACCCACTTCAGACCCACTGCCCCCTAATAAATACAGCTGCAACGACAAGAAAATTGATCCACCCTTTATTTGATGTCAACAGTTGTTTAATGTTAATTTTTTATTCAATATTCCCTCCTTGCTCTCACTATAAAAATAAACATGTACTTTACTTTAAGAACTTAATCTGACTTACCAGGGATGCTCCTCTACGAGTGCAAGCTTCTCCCTTCATTAGGACTTTAGATCCCTGCATCAGGGCAGGCCAGATGTGATGGTTTACTAAAGGAGCTGTGTACTCAGAATCATAACTTCTACGATACCTGTAATCAGTTTGTATAAGTATTTAATTATCTCTGGCTTACAAATGTAAAAGACCAATGGAGGAAGTGTTAAATACATTTCCTGAAGAAATTTGTATCAGTCAAGTTATCAGCAAACATATCTTGAGGTGTTTTACTCGTCTTAAAAGGAGTTGTTTGTAGGAAGTTTTGCATACATTAGAATTGATAAAGTTTACCTAATTGTGTAAAGTATTTACAGAGCTAACTCTATTTGAAATACTGTAAAAACAAAGTCACACCAAAAGCAGTTATTTAAAAGGACTTCAAAAGCTAGATTTGGTTCTCAATTAAATTTAAGAAATAGGTTTTTTATATGAATTTGACCCAAGTCCATATAAAAATAAGGAGATGTGTTATGATTGCCAATGAGACAACTATCCACCAAAGTTCAAATGAAGTGGATGTAAGCAATTAAGCATAGTTTTGTTTCAGAAAAAAAAAAACACTGTTCAAATGGATGTCTGTTTCTACATCTTTTAACAAAATAAGTGCAGAAATAACTATATCAAATAGGCCAGATATAACATGTAGTTACCTGTTGTTGTCAAAGAGTTCAGCATCAGTGGCCACTGCAATATCAAGTGGGTGGGCCAGAGCACTCATTTGCCAGGCAAGTTTACAGGCTTCTCTGATGAATGGCTGAACGACTGCAAAGGTAGAGTCTGGTGGAAGATAGATCTTTGGACTTCTGTTTAACCCTCTTAATACATCCTAAAGAAATTTCATATATTTAGAGTGTATTATGATACAAAAGAGTAGTAAATATTGCAGTACTAAACAAATGGAACTGTGATCTATTGTTTTTTAGTAAACAGTATGTTGAAGAGCAATGGGTGTGAAAACCCATCATATGGTATGGTATACTAACATAAATGTTTAACCAAATTTTAAGGTGTTAATAGATTGGTAGATTCTGAGAGAAATGTGACAAACATTTCTTAAATGGTAATTTTGTGTAAAAATATACAAGTTAATGGTAAACAGGAAGCTACTGAGCAATGTATGTGAAAATGCATCAAATTGTAAAACATATCCACATGAAGCCTGGTAATAAATTTCAGAAAACTATGATTTGTAATTCCTGAGAAAAATGTGACAGAGATTTCATGGAATGGACAGACACAGATAAAACAGTATGCCCCCAACTTCGGAGGGAGGTATGAAAATGTCATCTCAAATTATGATCTCTAAAGCCAATTCTCAGGATGATGTGATATACTTAATCTTAAATATGCGAGTTTCATAATCATAAAAGATATCAGCATTTCTGTCTCTCAATGCTTCTTTCTTTTCTTTCTATCATTGTCTTTTTTTAACATTTGGCAAAATTTGAGTTATTTCCCTTTGTGCAGAAAACTTACAGCAACCATTCCAGGAAGATCATAGAGGTCTGTATTTCTATTGACATAGTCTTGGACTGCCTCCTCCAGAGTCTCTGGACCAATGTGTGTAGCTGCCAGGTTTGCTCGGACTTTCATCTTAAACTGACGGAAGGCACACTTGGCAACACTAAATGCTTCCTGACAAAAAAACATAAAACAGGAAATCAAAAATTTTATATGATTTCTCTTTCTTTTAGGACTATAATGTCTTTATTATAAGCAAGTCACAGTGATTCTTATTAATTGAACAAAACAATATTTTACTTGACCCTAATTTAAAAAAAAAAATCTTAATTATGATCACAGAACCCATGCTGGGCATAACATTTATCATCACACAAAAAAAATGATACACACAAAAAAAGTACATACGGTACATATAATTATATATTTAAATGATCATGTATTTTGATTGACACAAGTATTTATACTGCATAGTATTTGATCCCATACCTGTAATGCAAGGAAGATGATTCTTTGATTGTTTTCATAATCATCTGAATAGCGACGGAGAGTATCCATGGCATCCAGACGATCCTGTGAGAACATATCATTCCATCGTGAGATGAGATTCTGTTGTCTGACACGCTGTACGGGATCGTCGATGGACAGTGGTGATCCTACTCTTGGTGTATAACGGTAGGAGTTCAAACTGCTGTACACATCTCTACTTAAAAATAGTCAAATATTGCATGTCATGATTATAATTTTATTATGCAAATAGTGATGCTCACATTCATAATTTAAAAAGGACAATAATGCTATCAGGATCAAATTTTTTTGAACACTTTAATAGAAAGTTAAAGTTTGCATATATTGTCTTCTAATTGAAAGATTCAATTTTCGCGATTAATTCTTTTTAATTTCAAAAATTTTGGGTTTTTTTTTAACCCTAAAGCTCAGGTAAACTTTTTATATCATCATATATTATCCACCCTCTTTTTTTTTCATCAACAATGAAATATGATACAGTGTTCACCTTACATTCTCATCCTGTTATTATTGCATACATGTATTTATTCTAGATTAACTGTTCACATACATTTTGAAATTTAGAATTAAGAATAATTTAAGATTTATCATGCATTCTCCCTCCTTTTAAAAAAAACAGATATATTAAACTTATTAACAACAAATATTTTTTATAAAAGGCCACTGCACCCAGTGTGATATATATGATATCTCTACACTCCAGTCAATATCTATAATGTAATTGTCAAGAGTGGAAAAATATTGTATTGCCTGAGATTTGGTGGTGAAATTTGTTTCTCTAATGATCTTTTGACAATGTGTAGGCAAACTTCATTTTTCTTTTTCAATGATCTACAAAAAGACGTTATGTCTTTCTATGCGACATCATCAGACATGGTAGCTTTTTTGCATGTGGTCACAATAGCAAATTCAGAGCAAAGCAAGAAAATATGAAGTCATAATTGAATTTTGACCAATGAATAACTCAGAGATTAAGCAAACCATGTTTATTATAAAAAAAATAATCAACCATGGAAGTATAAATCGGGTTAGAATTAAGAGAAAAACAAGAATATGTCCATAGTACACGGATGCCCCACTCGCACTATCATTTTCTATGTTCAGTGGACCGTGAAATTGGGGTAAAAACTCTAATTTGGCATTAAAATTAAAAAAGATCATATCATAGGGAACATGTGTACTAAGTTTAAAGTTGATTGGACTTCAACTTCATCAAAAACTACCTTGACCAAAAACTTAACCTGAAGCGGGACAGATGGACGAACAGACGGACGAACAAATGAACAAATGGACAGACCGAAAAACATAATGCCCCTCTACTATCGTAGGTGGGGCATAAAAATGTATATGAAATTCAGAAAAGGATTTTTTCTCATTGAGATCTTAACATGTCTGCAATCTAGAAATACATGTATGTAATAAAATACTGGTGTGAAAAGTCAATGCACATTCATCATGCAATTAGTAAAACTGTGTATGTTCACCACCGGATATAGGTACCCTTGGCCTGGTTCTCTGTTCATTGTCTTAAGAAAAACAACATTACTGTACAAATACCAGCGTATATCTACCTCAGTACCTATGTGTTGGTATATGTACAGTAATGTAGTTTTTTTTAGACAATGAACAGAGAATCAGGCCAAGGGTACTTATATCCGGTGGTGATGATACACAGTAAGTTCCAAAATGAAAACATGCTATAAAGTGTGAACACAGTATAATAAATATTGAAAATAACAAATAATTTTTACAAGAATAGATCTATGTTCTAGCAGAAAATCTATATTAAAATGAGAGAGAGAGAATATGCAGATTTAGCATTATTTTCTAATTAGTCAAATTAAAACTTAAAATCAAGTAATGTTTTTGAAGTTTATCTTTTCCACTCTTCGTTTTTTCTTACTTTTCTAGAATATAATATCACTAATGTTAGATGTTTTCATACCCATGCAGTGAGGTTGAAGTTAGATATCTATATAAAAGTCTGACAAGTGTTGAAATTCAAGTCAACAAGTGGCACAGCGTCACACATTGCTATAAAGGGAGCTAACTCATGATTCAAACAGAATGTGCATTTCAAAAAACAAATTACGAGAAAAAAATAATTACTTCAACCTTAAGTTTTGGTATTTGGTTTTTAAGAAAAAAAGAGAATAAAATGATGAATAAACAATTAAAGTATGAAATGAAGGTGCTGATGGCTATAATCTTACCCATCCAAATAGCTCTTTTTAGTGGAAGACAATGAGAGTTCATCTTTGAGATTCCTTACTTGTCTTTCGTACGTATCAATAAGACCTGATCTTGCACGTAATTTGACAATCTCGTCTTGTGCGTCAGCGAGCCTATAAAAATGGACGATAGGAAGAAAATAACTTCAGGTCAAACAGCAGTTTTTTTTTTTTTATTTACAAGCTTAAGATTAATCTATGGCCAAACAATTTCAAAATACTGTCAGAGGAGAAAATTGCATACTTCAATTTTATTGTAATTCTGCCCAAATTTCACATGTTTTACAAGGTCAGTTACATTTTGAAATTTTCTGGCCAAGAGCTTCTTCATGCAGAGGGAATGAAATGTTTTGTTTGTGATTATACTTTTTTTATGAGAAAAGTCTCTTGCGTTCACAAAAATTGAAAGAACTTATAAACACAGATGCAATTAGAAATTTGAAAATATAGAAAAAATCCATTAACTTTACATTAGAAATTATAATAAAAAATAAATTAAAATGATAGTTACAAAACCAACCACCATTTTATGATAAAAAAAAAATTTTTTTTGCTTCTGATAAAGAGATATTTAAAAAGGGAATTCTCTATCAAAACTCTGATTTTATATTCCCTTCTCAGAAACTTAAGTTCATAATAACTTGTATTCATGAAATCTTTTGATATTCCACTTATTTTTTCTACCTCCAATTATGCCCAATTTGAATTGTAGAAAGTTATTTTTGAGTCCAAAATAATTTTTATAATAAAAACTTGAATGGATTTTCATGCATGCAAATAAAAAACATTATCCCCATTTTTGTTGTTGTAAAATAGTGATCATTCTCGCTGTAACGGACAAAAAAGTTGAAATTTACTTTATTGTGTATAAACAAAAAGTTTTACATACAGCATGAAATTTTTAGGAAACTTATGATTTCACAAAAAATTAACAAACACATAGCTTAGCAAGACAGGGTAATTTCAGACAACATTAAGAAAGAAAAACAAAAAAATGTTAATAGTAAGTACGTTCTATAAAAAAAGATAAATTAATTCATTTCATATTAGCCACCATAAATTAAAGTTTCTACCTTTCACAAACAAAAGATTAAATTCCCTTTACATATAATTCTAAAATTAAATAATATCCACATCCATACATAATGTTATTAATACCACTAAAAATTTCAATATTTAAATCCAATCATCCCTAAGAATCAAATTTTATAAATTTCTTGAATTTGTGAGAAACTAAATTGATATATGAAAAATTACAACATCAAAGCATATAACACCAACACCAAAAATAGGGATGAAAGAATTAATTCTGATTATGACAATAAAACATGTTACTATTAATAGCAAAAATGTAAGTGCGAGAATAAGGTGTAAGGCAGGAAGCTGGCAAAAGCAATGACATTGTTAGTCTCCATGACAACTGCCTTACCCTGGACCATTGCGTTTAGACTCATCTTTTGAAGATAAGAATGAATCATCTTTATCTTTAATTGTTGACGTTCTTAAAAGTGAGTCACGCCTAGCTGTTAGGAGAGCAATGTCATCACGTAAACGGCGAACTTGAGTATCATAATCTGTTAACAGCCCTGCTTTTGATCTTAAAGTTCTAACTTCATCTTCTGCTAAAGCTAGTCTGAACAAAACAAATGACGAAAAGTTACTCTATTTCTAAGGTGACAAACTGCAAAATGTTTATGCAGCAAAGAACAGTGGCTTTCTTCCATTAAAGGTTGAATTTAAATGTAAAACCTTTGCAAAAGGCTTAAAACTGTTTTTTTTTTTTTTCTCTCAACCAGTGGATTCCTATTATCTTTTTCTTTTTACGTGTATGTATTACAAGTGTCAGACTATGTTCTATTTCCAAATTGTTTGTAATTTTTTTTTTTTCTTTAAATGATCATGATATGACAAAAAGTGAGCAGAAAGTTCAAATGAAGCTATCTCTATCAGCATATAGCCTGCTTGAAATTAAAACACAAAATGGCTATCACCAATGTCTATGACCATTCAACATGAAAATCTAATTCCATGTTCCAAGCATTGTTTGTTTAAAACATCATATGTATATAACAACTCATCAGTCCTGTAAAAAAAATTATGCCATCCAAAACAATGCAATAGCACAAATAAACTACATTACAATATCCAATGTTTATCATATGTCTACTTGAGCAGATTCTGTAAATACATATTGCAACATAAAACTTACATGTCTTAACCAATTTTTTCTCGTTTTACTAGTAAATTGTAATTATCAACAGCTGCTTACAAAAAATGTCAAGAGACTGAAACAAAAACTTGACAGGTGGAATTCAGCAGAATCTTAGGTAAAATCATTTGAATCTATCTATTCAAATTAAAGAATATTTGATTTCAATACCTATAACTGTAACAATTGATCTAATAGCATGTGATAAAATTCAAACTGAACCAACCAGTTGCAAGAAAGATTGGTTAACACTTGTATGGTTTATGGTGTAAATAACAATTATTTGTGTAATCTGACAAATTTATATCATATTGAGTCCTGAAAGAAAACATGTATTTTAATATTAGTATAAACTTTTACAAAAACCTGCAGTACCCACAATAATGATAGTTTTAGTGCAATATACAAAGCTGAATGATAAAAGAGTTCTTATTCCTAATATGGTCATCTGTAATTTGCCATATTATCAAAATATAAAAAACATTTGAGATTTTTTAGCTCTTTTTTCAAATTGTTTATTTTGAAAAACTGCATTTTGTTCCAAATTGTAAGCTTTCTGCTATAGAAATTAAAAAACCTTATGTAAGCAAGCTCACATACCCTATATAAATGGGGAGAGCTGCTGATTTCAAACAATAATATTGTCTAACAAAACTATTTTTAGTACATTTGACCTTGACCTTATGCATTGTGCATTCAAAACCAATTGGATGACCACATGTGAGGTTACCATACAACTTAAAAAAAATATCTGATTTATCATCCAGAAACAACATTCCTACACAAATTTCCGTCTATCATAAGTAACTTTGACCTTGACCTTAAACATGGTGATCTCAATATCAAGAGAAATCAACATGAATCTTCTTCTCATTATATGTGGTAATACATCAAAGTAAGGTTGCAATCCCATTTACAGCATTTGATTTAGCATCTTGAAAACAGTTTCCTGCACTTATTTTGGTTTATTTTTAGTAACCATGACCATGACCTTAGGCTAACTGGTCTACACAAAAAACTTTTGTAACCACAGGACTGAAGACAATTTTTGTTGAAAAGTTTTGTATAGATTCTATTAGAATGTAGAAGAAATTCTTACAGGGCCTATAGAAATTTTACCAGCCTGGGATTGTGGGCCTATGGCCAAGCATGAAAACTGCTAAAAATCTATTGGGTACTTCCTGTCATTATTAGTGACCATATATTCAAGTATGGTTGCAATCCAATATAAAGTATTTGAGACCAATTTAACTGACAGACTGACTGGATAATGAACATGTCAAAAAACTGTCCAGCTTTGTAGCATTAAGTAGAAATTATAATGAGATGACAATATACTTGTATGGTGTGTATGAAGATTTATTATAATGATACACAATCACCATTTTAATTATATATTTACACTTCAAACTATGATAATAATACTCCAAACCAACTATAAGATAGGTGTTAACCAATCCAAAATCAGAAAACATTTGCTTAAACACCTATTGCCCAAAATGCACTGCATGTTTTTGAAAGTATGACAGCTGTAACATACTAATTTTAACATAATTTTTTTTAAATTGTCCTATTGAGTTGCAGTTTTTTCAAGTTTTACATCTAAACAAGTACAGACATAATCCAAGTATTTATAAGATGTCCTATCATACTAATTTCTAAGAAATTCTAAAATTTATCTAAATGAAAATCTATTTCTAAACATTTCTGATGGAATAAGTGTTATTTTATTATCAAAAATTCATTTTAGAAGTAATTTTTCCTCAAAATATTTTTTTTTCCGATCTAGAAAAAAAAATTTAAATGAGTAAAAGAAAAGAAAAAAAATTAAATAATTTAAAATCTAGCAATTTGAATTAAAAAAATTGAATTCCATCAAAAAGAGTATTTCTTGGAATTGTGAAGTATACAATTAATATAAGTAAAAGTATCTTTACACATTTCCTATATTCTTAATATTAAAGTGAAGTAAATAACTGTGTGTCTGTCTATATATAACTATGTAATGTATGCAGTGCTGTCCTTCCATCTACAGAGTGAAATAAAACTATAAGAATCTATAAGTAGTGTCTAAGTTAACAGTGTCAGACCATCTCCCAACAGTATAGTTGTATTAGGTTAAAATTGAGAATGGTTAGAATACATAATCTTTTGATTTAAACACATACACTTTTTAACTAAAAAAAACCTTATTCATTCGACAAATGAACCAACTTTGATTTGGTGATCTCATATTCCAAATGATAATTATATTTTTTTCTTTATTTCTTGAAAAAGTGAATTAATGTCTAAAGTTCATATAACTTGATTTAAACTGTTTACTTCTCAGCTCTAAAAGATGCTGATACATAAACACAAAATGGCCTATTCTTTCAAATGAAACTGAATTCCGGAAAACTTGAAATCAACTTTTAAGCAGAACCAGTTCATTTTCTGTTTGACACTGAATCCTAATGAAATTAGTAAAACATTCTGTAATTAGATACAACACTAACTCAGCAGGGGAGATAATACAGCAGAAGCAAGGGAGATAATGCAATCTTACTTTCGTCGTAGTTCACGTATTTCAACATCGTTTAACATTTTATCACTAGTTGTTGTTCTTAAACTTCTGTTAAGCTCCTCTTTTGTTTCAATCAGTCTATGGAAAGCAAAACATGTCATGATTAAAGAATTTATAACAACAATGAAAAAATAGAAAATATAGCTTACTTTCTTCTCAGCTCTCTATTTTCTGAATCCAAGAACATTTTGTCCGTTGTTGAATTTCTTAAATTCCTTGATAGTTCATCCTTGGTGTCCAACAGTCTGATCAAGCAAATATATAAAGTTATATATATCATCAAATATTGTACAATGACATTCTGAACTCACAGCTTTCTGATCCTTTTTCATTTAAGCCTTATAGACCACTTTCGAGTTATGTCCTTCAAAGGAAAACTTGTCTATTATGCACACCTTTATAACGTAATTTACCAGATAGAGGGGATCACCTGTATCCCTGCATTATTAAAGTTCATCAATCATCTTCGTGATTGTCATTATGCACGATAAACTAAAAATAATGTTTGTTCTGTAGGTACTTAATCACAATTCCCTAATGACAGCAGTGCTGATTATCAATTATAAGAACTTAATTTGCCGAATAATTTGTGCAATACAGCATTATATTTTTTCAACCGCTCACTCAACCTGGGTAGGAAATGACAATGCCCCTTAACGCATGAATGATGTTCATTAAAACCAAAGCTTTTGATGGAAATGCAACGAACTCGAAAGTGGTCTATTGTTGTGTCATTTCTGTATCAATTTTTCGAATATTTCACCTTTTTCAAAATATGTAGGCCTATGTACTGCTGCTTTGACTTAAATGAATAGGAATCTAGAAAGCATTGTAGTGTGTCTAATTTTAATCCAACACCAGGCAGTGTCAAACTACAAATACTTTTCTTTGAAAAATAAGTTAAGTTGTTCCATTATACAGTGCTGCATTGCTCTAATTTTGTGAAACTTTTACCTTAAGTGCTGGGGTTAATTTCCAAAGTTTTAATGTATAAATAAGGTCATTCTTTAGTCAAAATTAAAGAAAGTAACTTGATCATTTGATGATTTTGCAAGATTTCGAATTAATTTTTTTTTGGAATCAGTCTTTTTTGTAGTTTCCCAGTGAATGCCAAAAAAAAAAACTAAGTCAGGAGCTTGTAATTCAGTGGTTGTCGTTTGTTGCTGTATATCTTATTGTTTTTCATTATTTTGTACATAAATCAGGCCTTTAGTTTTCTCGTTTGAATTGTTTAACATTTGTCATTTCGGGGCCTTTCATAGATGACTATGCAGTAATGGGTTTTACTCATTGTTGAAGGTGTACGGTGACCTATAGTTGTTAATTTCTGTTTCATTTGGTCTCTTGTTGAGAGTTGTCTCATTGGCAATCATACTACATCTTTTTATTTTTATAACAACATGAAAAGTCAAATTTAAACTTGAAAGGTTGATTTTTGGTGTATACATTTTGTAACTCCACTTTCAGCACTATTAGCTTTTTCGTGGCTGCCCAAATTTTATTGGAATAGGAAGCCAGAGTGCCCTAAGAGAACCACTGATCTCCAGCGTAAACTAACAATCCTTGTCAATTTAGATTGGAGTCAAATGCAACTGCAATGTGCAAGGTTCAAACTCACAATCTCAGTGTTAACAGCCAACAGGCTAGTAATACAGAACATGATCTATTTAGATAACTCGGCAAGCCAGGCACCTAACGGTATACATGGTATATGAGAAGTTAGTTAATTTAAGAGAATGCTTACTCATCACGAAGGTCTTGTACTTCATTTTCTCTAGCTTTAAGATCAGCTTCTAGGTCTTGTAAACTGACTTCATACTGGTCTTGTAAGTCATCTAGTTCCCTATTTTTTGCTGCAGATTCTGCTAAGATACTAAGGCTAGTGTCTGCAGTAACAGATCCCCCTGAGGTAAAGAAATTCTGTCCCAAAAATGGAAGTAAACGAGATTTGATAATACTGGCACCTCCATACATTCCACCTGAAAATATAAACAAACATAATAAGTTACATGTATATAAACTTGCAAATGACAAAAAATAAATAGAAAATATATTTTGTCCAGAAGTAAACTGCACAATGAACCATGTTTTATTCGTTGTTGTTTGTATGTCTATTTTGTTGGGTGTTTGTGTGGTCTGTTGTATTGTCCAATATTTCCTGTAATTCCTGTTAACCTTTTTATGGCCTCTTACAATAAATTCAAGATTATTTGTGATGTTTTCATTATTGCGAAAAATTGCTATCTGATAGGTTTTGCAAAATTAAAGGTAGCAATATATTTATTTAGCATTTCCTGGAAATCGTAATATTAATGAATTTAATCTCACATATTTGTCCATTGTTTACGAATCCCAATAATAAATGCACACAAAAATGTCTGAATTTTCAATATTTTATATAGTGATAGTGATTTATTTGACAACCGTTCTTTTAATGACTGTCTACCAATTAATTACAAGGTGAATTTTGATGCATATTAACATATGTGGTGAGGTCGTCTAAGTTTGCACTGATTAATATCCTGTATTCATTTATACACAACAACAAAAAACCTGTTTGCAAAAGAATACTGAAAGTTTTGTTCTATCAAAGTAGATAAATATCAGGAAATGAAAAACATTTTAATCCTATTTTTTAACTTAGAAACTTTCAACAAAACCAAAATGTACATGTAATAAGACTGTATTCATTTCTAAATAAATAATAATCTGGTATTTTAAGTTCATAAAGCTTTTTTTTATATACAAAACCAGTGGCCCGCTTTTACAACAGTACTATATTTCAACAAACTAAGGAAAGGATAATATAACAGCGTATTCTTATTTATAATATTAATTTACTGCCATATTAATTTTCAAATTTAATTTTTATAAATTACATTTCAAAGGCTCAATCAATATTTGAAACTTTCTTTATGTCAGAACAAATAACTAAATGAACTGTTTTTTATCGTGTCATAAACACTCAATGTTTAATAGTATTACATTCATGTATGTATATAGCAATTCAACAATGCAGTTTATTAGATAATATTTCATCATAATTGTCCTTTTAAAGCCATAACCAATCAATAAAATGCTTAAGCAAGCACATTTAGTAAATCTTCTTATCAACAGGAAATATCTTAAGTTTATTTGTGCCAAATGGCCGATTTTAAATGTACAAATTTTTTCACACTCTGGTAAATGTCTTTGAAATTAAACTCCCTGTTAATAGAGCACCTGTATTTTGTGTATTGGCTTTTGTTTAAATATCAAATTCCTGTAGAGTACTATTACAACTATGTTACTATTACAGTCGTAGACATTTTAAAAGTATCAAAATTTCAACTTACTTAAGTAATGAATGCAAAAAATTTAAGACATTTAAATCTAAGCTTACTGATACACAGGTGTATTTAAATAAATAGTGCTGAACAGTATTCTTAGTAGTTAGGGAAAAACACTTCAAGAAGCTGCAGGTGCCCTAAAGGCCCTTTTTGGTCTGAAAAATTGTAAAGTATTTCAAAATCATGCTGTTTTTGTGTAAAAATAATTGATAGTTATGTACGGAGTTAAAAATGTAAGGTCTTCCATGTATTACGAGAATTTACGATTGAAAGATATTATAATTTTTTTTTCTACAAAAAATAACAAAAATGGATAATTTTGAAACAAATTTATGAATGGAAAATATCAATCTCATGCAAGTACCAAATGAATATGGAGAAAAATATTCACATGGTACATCATTTAATTTGAACTCACATACAATCTTTATTTGCAAGTCCAAAAAACATTTGAGATTGTCCAAAAACAATGTATTGTTCATAAAAAAAGGTGTAGAAGTGGCTTATTCATGAAAACTATGAATGCATTATTGTAACATGATGAATACTAATCTACTTGTTTTTCATTTTGTAATACAACATTAAAAAAAATTTGTAAGGGTTCCACAGAACCCAGTGTCTCACCTACTTTTGCTGTTACAAAATGTGTTAGTCGCAGGCTCAACAAAAATGGGGAAAAAATTATTAAAAATTTTCCTCTAGATACTATCTTTTGATTATAAGAAGTTCTGTTCAAGTTTGGTAAAAATCCAAGAAGGTTTATGAGTCTAATAAATGTTTTAAAAACTTTAACTGCAGACTGTAACGTAATGTTAACTGGAATAAAACTAAAAAAGTAATATACGGAAAAACAGGAAATAAATTTTTACAAAATTTCCTTCTAGATACTAGCTTTTGATCATAAACAAGCTTCTGTCCAAGTGTGGTACAAATCCAGGATAGTTTAAGAAAGTTATTAAATTTGAAAAACTTTTAACCACAGAGTGAATGTAATGTTAACTGGCAGAAAAACTAAGTCCATTTATAAGTAAAATACGGATAAACAGGATTTTTTTTTAACAAAATTTACTTTTGAATACTATCTTATTATCACAAACAAGCTTCTGTCCAAGTTGGTACAAATCCAGGATAGTTTAAGAAAGTTATTAAAATTTGAAAAACTTTTAACCACAGAGTGAATGTAATGTTAACTGGCAGAAAAACTAAGTCCATTTATGAGTAATATACGGATAAACAAGATTTTTGTTTTTACAAAATTTACTTCTTGATACTATCTTATGATCATAAACAAGCTTCTGTCCAAGTTTGGTACAAATCCAGGATAGTTTAAGAAAGTTAAAATTTCAAAAACTTTAACCACAGAAAAATATTTGTGGACGCCGACGCCGCCTGACAGAATGTAGGATCGCCATGTCTCGCTTTTGCGACAAAAGTCGCAGGCTCGACAAAAAAGTATGTAAACTACTGGTGGTATCTTAGTTCAAATTATGGCTAAAAAAAAAGGTCAAATAAGGTCCATATATTAGTCTGCCATTTATAATTTTTATCAAAATTAAAAGTAAATCTGCCATCATCTTAACCTCATATTCACAGTAAAGACTTGAAAGACGTCAGCTTGATCTTGCCATTATTGTTCACAAGAAGATCAAATAATTTGACCAGCTCAAGAAAATCAGGGACAATAACAAAGGTCTGTGTAGTACTTACCTGATTCGGCAGTAACACTGAGTAATTTAAATAGCTGCCCTTGAACTTTGGCATTGAGTTCAATAATTTCACAGCACCGAGCAACATTCTGGTCACATGTGTTGATCTGGAAAAACAAGAAATAAACATAAGTTTGTCAATTATTAATTTCTATTTAGCTTGGCTGGGCTACTATTATCTTAAATAAATTAAATTGATTGATTTTTAGTGGCAAATATTACATGCGTATTTTGGACAATGACATGTTAGTTTCATACAATACAAAAAAGCTTCATTAATTGTACATGAGCAATGTCCGATGCTTTGCATCCTTGTTTAAAAGTAAAGTCTGAAGGAAACCAAAACATGAACCACAGAGACTATTCTAAAGTTTGATTGATTGTTTGCTGGCGTTTAATGCCACTTTCAGAACTCTTGGCAATGATGGTGGAAAGTTTTTATTGGTGGTCGAAGCTCTTAAATTTGATAACAAAAGCCAAAGAAATAGCTGCAACTGTTTCAAATAAATAATAAACTGAACAATCGATATCATTAATGGAAGTTTTTAACAGATATATCATGTTATGGAGGGGTATTTGCAAAAAATACCAGTCAAGGGATGGTGAAATTTCCCAAGCCGCTAGGCGAGGGAAATTTGTTCCCAAGACTGGTATTTTTCGCAAATACCCCTCCATAACATGATATATCTGTTTAATTACACCGAATAGATTTTGATTGAAACTGTCTGTACATGTGAAGGGAAATCGTTGTACCGCGGGAATTATACATGTACTTATTGCGTTAGTGCTGTTTTTTGTAACGTCATTGTTATTCCATCATTAAATCGTTCATTTGTATAGACATTTTGTCCCCTCTTTATATGTATATTTCTGACAGTTTTCGGTTTAACTCAACCAATAGTGCTTAACCATGTTGTCAGGATAAAGTGAGAAAGGTTCTGAATAATTTTTGCGGGAACAGGCTCGCGAGGGTAAAAAAGGAATATCCAAAATGGCAAATACCACGGCAGAGAGGGGAATTTGAGGCAAATTCACCGGCAGTGGTGAAAAAACAGGCAAACCCGTTTGAAATGAGGAAAAAATGTTAGAATATGCGAAAAAATAAACTGGATAACAACCAATCAAAATCCAGCATTCTTATATAATGTGTAATAAGCATTTAAATGTGACCCACTACTTAATGTTATAAGTGTAGCATTATGACTGAAGTGGTGATACATGTACAAGATACTGCTGATAAAGAAAGTTAACCTATGGTTGCAATGCTTTATTTTTTTACCTTTGAAGTTGGGTTACTGCCCAATTAACATAAAACCATTTACAAAATTTATGCAACTTTACTAAAGGTACACAAATCATTCAGATTCACTTAGCAAAAAGCAAAGCTTATATATTTTAAATGATCTTTTTAATTTGGAGCAGGTATTTTTATAGTAAGAAATTTATATATGACATCTTAAAACATGAACCCATAGAATCAATTAGATGTTTAAGGTTATGATTATCCAAACACATACTTAAATCATTCATGAATTCATAATGTGTAATGTAAAGGTAATCAATATAAACAATTATCGGTGACATCAACATGAGATGTTTCATATCAAATTATTGTTTGACATATTAATTATTTACATTTTCACATTGACGAAAAAAATTAAGAGAATGGCATGAAACCAAAATTAATTAAAATATCAATCAATAGTGTGTGATTAAATGTTGAAAGTCAGCAAATATTAATCTGTCCACAAAATTAAAGGTCATAATCAATTAATCGGTCAACAACCAGGGTCACTGTTAATACCTGCAACTATATTGATTTTATATTGGTTAGTTATATCTTTATATATCTAGATAATAGATACATAAATGGGCAATATCATGGATTTTTTGCTGGCAACTAGGACACTTAGATCTGTATATAAAAATGATGTATGCAACTAAACTACTTTTTGAGATATGGCCATTTAAATTTGGGTAATCAAATTGGCTGTTATTGTACCTGTTTTAAGGGGATGCACACACCGCCTGAATCCAATAATAATTAATAGTTCCCAAATAATACTGAATCCACTGTTCTATACATGCAAAAGATTTATCAAAAAAAATAGTTTTCAAAGAATAACATAGTGTTTCTTACAGGCGGTTAGAACAGAATATGCCTGTCTAATAGAAAACTGCAAAATATTTTTTTATTTTTTATCTTTTGCTTAAAAAATAATATGGTATCATTATTCTAAAAAAAAAGGCATAAACAAGCACATATATTCATACCTGTATATCAAATATATTTAATATCACTAAAATTTTCTAACACAGTAATAAAAAAAATCTATTTAAAAAAGAAGTGTTTATCAGTCCTTAGTTTTATATGAAAGTAACTCTTTATAAACTTTGTGCATCTGAAGCGCTTTTTAATATTCTTATATAAATTGCTGATTCAAAGTAAAGAAAAACCATTCATATTAGATTTGATGATATATACAAAACCATTCAAATTAATCTAAAACATTTAAAGTGTTAAATGTTTTCAATAAATCAAAATCTATGCAAATATTTGCTACCGAAGAAAAGAAAATATATTTTACAGCTTTATATCTACCTATTTAATTTTGTCAATATAAACTTCAATAGATTTCTTGAACTGTTTAAACAGAAATATGTATATAGTAAATGTGACTATACTATAGATTATGACCTTTAAGATTAACCACAATCACGTCAGAGAATTCTACATGGATTCAAATTCACAATCGGGTCTTTCAATGCTTCTTACACAATTTACGAAATCCAACTTTTCGTTTTCTGAACCTATCCTTTTAAGGTTGTAATCAGTGTAATGATAGGTTTAAACACCTATTTTTAAATTCTCAGGTAAACAAATTTGGTAAATTAATAATAGTTTGTATATACCCAGATATACAGGTCAATGGAATTTCAACAGAACTATTGGAATTTCAGAGATAAAATGTCAAGTGTATGTACTAAACTGAGTGATATATCATGCAACAAAAATCTTGCTTGTTTCAGCATGTTCTCTAAATCAACATACAGAGTTTCACTACTTCTGCAATTTATATAATGTAAAAGGATCAACTTTGTAACATTTTAAAATTCTATAACATTAAAATTGAATGAATTACAATAAATATAATGTAACAGTGCTCTAGCTTAATTAATCTTTTCAATGCACAAGCTTAAGGTATGCAACTGAATTTGGAAAAAAACAAGAGCATTAAGAAACTAGTTGAGAAATTATAGAAAATAGGACAGCATTGTTAAGGAATGCCAGAGGTACATACATGTACACTAACACATTTTTATTACACACTTTCCTTCATTAGTTTACAATGTATGCTTGCAAAATGATGGGACAAATTATCCATAACCCTGACATCCCAAAAATTCAAATCATCTTATTCAAATCAAACAGGGAGAAAGGACCTATGTAGTATGTAGCATAGTTCATGAAACAAATAAAAAAAACTTTGATAAAAAAGTATATAACTTTGGGATCTCCCAAACCATTGCCTAACATGCAATGTCATATTATACATCTATTATTCTTAATAAGTACATATACACAATGTAGATCATTTCCCCTTCAAGTCTTATCAAGTGAAATATTACTAATAATTCATGTACAAACACAATGACTTTTGTATCAATGATGCATTGTGTACTTTCTTTCTAACATTTGCTTGATTTTGTTTGTTGGGTGTTTAAAAAAAAATGAACAATAGTCTTTTTGATAATCCCCAAAGAATTGATCAAACTGAATCATTATTTTTTTCTATAACTTTATGAATGACTATTTTACTAATTTAAACCTAGTTAACCTTCAGGAGCAAGATAATAATCAATTAAATGTATTGTACATAAAAATGACTTGTCAATTTAATATTTGTCATGAAATAATCAATACAGATATTCTTGATCAAAATTGTTATAAACTGAAAATTAATTCTAAGATGTTTTTCTCCATTCTAGAGAGTCTTGGATCAGGTAGTAAATAGAAAACATCTCATTTATTTGATATATATATATATTTACAATCCCCTCTAACCATTTCACAATTGATTCAAATAAATATTAAAACTAATTAATGATTTACTCAGTATGTATCAGCAGGCAATAGGCATACTGCATCTTTTTTTCCAAAACAAAACTAAAAAAAGTTTTTATATTTCTCTCACTTAAATTATGCTAGAGTTGTCTCAATTGAAACCAATCTTTAATGAAAGCAACAGAAGGCTTGCTTTAGAGAGCCATCTTAAGTTATGAAAATCTTACATCTTAATGTGCACCCTGTCTCAAAATAAATCACAAATTCTAAACAACCTGGGCAACCTAAGCTATTTAACTTCAGTACAAAAGAGGACATTCAATAAACATCCATTACAAACAGTTCAATGCTCTAATAGTTAATCCCTACAAATTTTACTGATGTAAGCAAAATATATCTTTATTGGGTCATTTGAATACCGCATAAATGAAATGAATTTATAAAAAGATATCAACTGTGCAGAAAATATTTTCATGTATGCACAAAATATAACATTATACATTACTGTTGGGAGGGGGTCGAAATGATGCAAATGAAAGTATTATATACACAACGATAAGGCCACACAAACTGGTATAATTCACATTCATAAAAAAACATAGCTGTAAAAAAGTATTTAAATTGTATGCATATATATATATATAATGTATATGTATATCCTTTATATTGTTTTTCGATTATCTTTAACAAGTCCTGTGCCTTAAAAAATGAAGTTTTTAAAACTACTTACTGCAAAACTACCTTAAATTTAGATTTGACTCCATAACTAAATGTTACAAGATCGAAGTGCATGTTTTTAAACCTCACTCCATAAATAAAGGTCATAAGATCAAAGTAGATGTAAATGGTTTAATTTATTGTTCATTTCACACGTGAATGAATTTAAATTCTCTACAAATATATTGTAATAAATTGGTATTGACAGAGTTTATGACTTAAAAGTGTACTCCAGTACATAGGTAAAACCAATAAAAACTTTGAAGTTTATAACACAGTGGTGTAATATGCTTCTTCTCATGATTTATTGTTTCTAGAACAAATATTAGCTGTCAGTTTAATACAGGGTACAGCATAACATTTTTACTGGCAATATTTTCTAAATAGCATTTCTATCTACCTCCCCTCGTCACATTATACATGTGCCAAGTTCATGAAGTTAGACTGTGTTTTGCAGAAATGGCTTTAAATTATCCAGCAGTTTCTGTATGCTTGGTAACAGTATGGGTCGGTATCATTTATATTTGGACTCCCTTAGCAGTGGACATATTCGAACTGCTGTCAGATTCTTGAAATTTCATAGGCCTCTTAGACTTTGGTTAAAAATCCACAAACATACATGTAGTCAACATTTTGAGAAAAAGTGTTACAGACTACAACATGTTCATTTCTCAAAGCAGACTTTAAATAAAAAATGGACTTAATTATTTGCTTTAATTTTGACCATGATTTAACTTTTGTGTAGTATAAAAACAATGTTTTGACTGAAATAAAAAAAAATGTTTTTAAAAGATCCCCTATTTATTAATCGAAACCCAGAACAACTAAAAAATGCACACCATTTTTATTTTTGAATACTCCTCACATATCTTAATTTTCTTTAGACATGTAGAAAACAAGAAAGGTACAGATAATGTTCAATTCTTTTAATTAGTACACAGTGATTGCACCTTACATTTTGACAAATAACATCTATAAACAGACGGTAAGAAAATATGCCTGACCTACAATAAAATGTGTGTACGATTTTTTATTTTTGATAATTTGCGACTGTTAACTTTTCCATTAATTTTACAATAATAATCCCTTGAACCAGATGTAATTATTCATCTGAGTTCTTAAAAATCATTTCATAGAGCATGTGGTTAATAAAAAATTCACTTTGCATTGGCCTTCATGTTGACAACTACTCTACTTCTAACCCAAAAATGACAGTCATTATTCTAAATCTCTGATTGCTACATCAAACTGATAATTAATCAATAGCATATAGGTCACAGAAATTTCTGAGTTACTGTACTTTTGAACCAGCTAGAGCATGCAACTCATTGAGTCATTGTATCTGTAAGAGTGTGATCAGAAAGTGAAACTAAGGAAAGAATAATTTCTGACAGGTTATAAGTTTTTTAACACAGTATAACATAGATACCTCTTAAATACTAATTATCGAATAAGTGTTAAACGTTTTCCATTTTAATTGTCGCATGTTTTAATTGTTTAGAAAATGACAAACAGTATGTTTGTAAATTTTGTAACATATCCGGTATCAAATTCCGTACCCTACCGAGTCCAAACTAGTTCGTCTGCATGGCGGCAAGGTTAAAAATCGACAAAAATAATCTTATTAACCCCAAATTAATGCAAAATGCTGACATACTATAGATATTTGATCCGAAAGCTGTAATATGCACTACTAGTACATTCACGTTCCACAAAACACACCTGGTTTTATCTTAGCAACCGTTTTTTCATAAATCACACCGTATAAAAATGGAACTTGTGCTGATTTTAGGAAATAACAGGGGGTTATGACTTGTGCATTTGCAAAATAAGAAACTGCATTTTATTCACTTACGTGATAATTGCCGAGCCATCTTTCTAACTTATCCTGTAGTACAGTAAATGTACCGATGTTAACCAACCGTCTCAGAGACTCCGCCATTTTCGACGCTTTTCGTTCAAGGCTCTCGCAACAGAATAATACGCATGCCTGGTGACCCGAAGTAACATGCAAGTCATGTGATTACTGATCGTACAAATTATAGGTAATCATGTACAGGCAGCGGTATTACAGGTGAAATATCGTTAATCGGGTGATAACAAACAAATGATTATCTTAATTTAATTTACTTCTCAAGAAACGGGATTAAACAAGTTTATTTATTTATTAATTTATGATTTTTTTTCCATCTGAAGAATATTATGTTCTTCAAACAATGATAAGTCAACTGACATGAGAAAGAAGGAGAAAATTTTGAAATTGTTTAAATTAAAGATATTATTTAATAAATATATCTAGATCGAGATTCTTTTCTTGTTTTTAATTTTGCTCTACTTATTAACCTAGTTAACAAATAAACAAGCTGATGCAGCTGTCCAAAAATAAGCCGCAAACTGAAGTTAAAACCCTTATCCAATAGAGATAACGTTCTTATAGGAGCATCTTGTATCGAAACTTTTAATAATGCGAAAGTATAAAAATCGTCCGATGATAAAAAATAATACTTTTACAAAAGATTGCGTTACAAGAATTTCAAAAAGGAAAGTGGAGTACCGTGATATTCAATTTGGGCATTGTGAAACATACTATTTGCTTGTATTTTCAAAGAGTAACTTTTAAAGTGTAGTATAATAATAGATATCAAAATCACAAAGTAATTTAAAGTCATACCAATGCAAAACGTGTTTGTAGGTCTCTGACTGAATGAAAACTTAACATAATAGAGAACTTAATGTTACAAGCCTTTTTTCAAATAAAATAAAGCCATTAAAAATAAATGATAAAACTGTGTGAAACAATTGAGCTGCTATGTAAATCTGATATTTAAGACTCTATTTCCTAAATAAGAATCGTTTCGGTCCAAAATTCTGAAATTGATATTCCCTAAACCTCAAAATGTACAATTGCATATCCAAAGATATCATTAAGTTTATGTTGCAATTACTTTAGAATTTGGAATAGAATATGAAAGAGGAGCCCCCGTTTATATGCAATTTTATTATCAATTCAATCAGTATTCAAATTGCTGGAATGGAAGTTAAAGTTAATAATGCATCGAGCCTTGGGCATATATAAGGTAAAAAATCATCGAGCTGTAATTGTAATTATGACAACAATTAACTAAACACCAAACATAAAAACCGTCTAAAGATGTAACAACACTTGTTATCACTTGATACATAACATGTTTAAGTTGTTTGATTATAACAACTCCAAGAAGTTAAGACCACGGCTTGATTCTATTCCGCATTCACGGATATCATCAAAGATGAAGCGATATCAGATTTTTAACTAAGACAGATGAAACATATCCAAATGACAAAGATATGCCATAGCTGTCAATCAAATCATATTAGCGCCCGCAAAACATTCAAAGAAATAGTTTCAACCTAACCCATCAACAAGTACGCAGTTGACTCAATAGATTCGACCTCTATCAAAGGAATCTAGATAGGAAAAGAAAGCATTTGTATGTCGCATCACTGACTAGGTGTTACTGTATATTGAATGGAGGTACTGCTGAAATATTGATACTTTGAAATGTGCCAATTGAAGTAATCTCTTTCGCTGCTTTTGTTCTATTATTCGCAAGAAACGCCTTTTCGGAGTCTGCCGCATACGAAAAAAAATTTAAAAGTCGATTTGTTTCGAAAGCACTGGACCAAGTAAATGATAGATAATTCCATATGAAACAGTTAAAATGAAGGTCATCAGTAATGTGGAAATTTGTATGCCAAGTTTTACAAGACATGATTGTAACAGGATGCTGTGACGAAGTCTCCCAAAAAAAGTCCCCATAAGTATAAACCCATAAGGACTGTCCCTATCATTCATTCAATTCAATAGAATTTCCAATTTTTTAAAATAATTTTCAGTAATTGAAAAAAAAAATGTTCAAGGTCAAAGGTCAAACTGACCATTGACCTTTTGACCTTAGGTAGGCCATAGGTGTCTAACACTAACTGTTAAGTTGTAATCATTAGAAAATTAAAAAAATAAAAATCCCATAGCTAGGGTTCTATAGTAAACCCCTCACTTCTTTTGGCCCCTCAAAGTACCTCTTTATAGACCCCAATGCACAAAAAAACCCTGATTGCACCACTAGACATGTTAGTCAAACTTATTTTGGAGCCTTAGGTAAATTTGGAGAACTGATGCGGACAAGTTCATTTGAAAAGGCGTCGGAAGAAGAAGAAGATGAAGACGACTTAATAACGGTAGGTTACTATTAGGTCTGAGAACTCAACTCCGAAGTGAAAGAAGTGGATATCAGTTCTGGTATAATATACTTTTCATGAGAAATTGGCTTAAGGACTCTTCTGGATACATTCTCATACTACTTAAATGAAACTATGTGTTGTTAAAAAGAGATATACAAACTGATATGACCTTTTCCATATTGCCACGGTCAGGTTATCATCCTAAGACTCCCATATGAGCCCGAAGCGCTAGCCGATGGTCCAGCAATAATAACAATTTTTCTTATTTAATGGCCAATTACAAAAATATGAGAATTCTATAACATTAAAATCTTTCGAAAATAAATGTTTATATTATAAGATTATTAATAAAATTGAGAATGGAAATGGGGAATGTGTCAAAGAGACAACAACCCGACCACAGAACAGACAACAGCAGAAGGCCACCAACAGGTCTTCAATGCAGCGAGAAATTCCCGCACCCGGAGGCGTCTATTTTGGTCCACCGTTGTCAAATAGTTACATTATATTTTTTTCTGTATCCCCAGTTGTTAAATAAAGGCAACAGTAGTATACCGCTGTTCGACATTCATAAATCGATTGAGAAAAAACAAATCCGGGTTACAAACTAAAACTGAGTGAAACACATCAAATATAAGAGGAGAACTACGACACAACAGAAACACAACATTAAAATGTAACACACACAGAAACGAACTATAATATAACAATGGCCATTTTCCTGACTTGGTACTTGGTTAAAAGTAGTATTCAATCACATCTGCATCCGTATAGTATGTAAATGGTCATATCCAAAAAATGTGAACAATAGAAATGAACAGACATTAGAAAAGATAAAGTCAGTCTTCTTTTATGACAAGAATGACTAATCATTTAAGACTCACAGTAGTTGTTTAAATATCCAATTTCGAATATCTATATAGATTTTATAACTATATATTAACTGAGACTTCTACACTGCAGAAGTTAAGATTATGATAAAAGATTTGGAGATCAAAAACACAGGCATGGTAAGTATGATTAAGTATTTGTTTTTTTTTTCTTCATTATTTGGGTTTTCAGTTTTGTTTTAGACAGTTATATTAATTCTTCACATCATTTTTTAGATGCATGTCTTGTATATTTATTTTTAATTTTCTACGCAAGAAAAAAAATCAGAACTATATATTGGCAAATGTTTTAATATGACGTTAGAACGGGGACAGTTTATACTAACGGGGCTGGTCACTTAAAACAATGGCTATACAAATTTGCAGACAGAACTGTGCTGTCGCTGATATCACGTGACTTCATAGCAAATCATTTCACATTTACGAAGTGTTCTTCATAACTATATGTTCAAGTTAGTATAGAAAGTCCCTGGTTAGAACTAGTTTGATAGACTGTTAAATGTATTCAGACCATTGACGATTGAGAGCTTGATGTATTTCGATACTGCTTTTTTAAATTTTTTTTGTCCTTGGGTTGTAGTCTCATGGATCCATTGTTGTTTACACTACACTTCGTTCTATTCATATTCTTATTTCATTTTAGAGAAATTGTAAATTTTTAAATGGAATAATTTCACGTCATTGATATACTTTGAAGATGTTCAGTTGTTTTAAAAACTAAAGGATGCGAAAATACAGTCAATTATTACATTACTATTGACCCCGACTGTAGTAATCCAGTTTTTAATAGGAAGTCATTTTAGATTCATTTCGATATACATCTATAGATCTTGATATATATTGTATAGGCACCTCACTAATTTTGAGGATAATAAATGTCTTTTGTGTTTTTGTTTTGCGTCATAGGTTTGCTGTCTCATATACTTATTCCACATATCCCTTTTATCTATAAAAAAAAATATATGAGAAAAATAAAAAAAAAAAAACAACACACCACAAAACACAAAACATACAAACGATCAAACAAATATTAAAATGCACGTTTGTAGAATTTCTTGTGATTTCTCAAATTCTTGATTCTTTTATAATATGCTGTGGTTTCCAAATAAAGACAAACGAAGTTCCCTATTTTCTAAGTTTTAATTGATATCTTTCAATTTTGCAGTATATACTGATATATGTTAGTACTAGAATTTCCACTTTCAAATTGTAATCTTATCTTTCTTATTCCCGTCACAGTATAATAGTGACAATGAAAATGGCAGAACGAATAGTTTGGACTTTGTTGTTTCTGTGTAACTTAATTCAGTTCTCAAATTCGTCTTGCATGATGACAATGCCGAAACCGGGTAAATTTTTTTTAAATGTATTTCATATTTTCACTATATGCTTTTCAAATCTTTTATTTGAAACTATACCAAAAACATTACTATCAGACAAAGAGCAAGGTAAGTGTGTTGGAAAAAGGAAATAAAACACACCAACAAAAATATTTTAAACCGATAAAAAGAGGACAAAACTGGAAAAATAATAATTATGCAATTTTCATTGAAACAAATTCAAAGTGACGTCGGTAGACGAACTGGACATAAGATTATGATTTAGAAATTGTTAAGACAAGCATTCAGAATAAACTTACATACGTGATGGTTGAAATTCTTTAGATATAATCATTGTCTAATTTGAAGCATCTTTATTTTGAATTAGCTTTATAAATGCAATGTCTTATTCTTTCAGGCACAATGCAGTGCGTATATAAAAATGTCACCTTACCTTTAGGTCACTCATACATCGATTATACCCATTGTGTAGAGCACAGCTGTGGTTCGGATGGAAGTATGTCTGTTTGTGGGTATGTTGCAAGTATATGTTTTAATCATAGCTACGACCGCCACATTAATAGAACTAATGCTACTTGTAATGATTACAAGTATTAATTGTAACAGGAGGCTGGTACAAAGTCTCCCAAACGAAGTTCTATTAGACCCCTATAATCCGTTTATTTAATTAGCATATATATTTACTATTTGAAGGACACTTTACCAACAGTTCACGGGGCATGTGCTCAATAATATTGTTGAAAGTTGACAAACATACATAAGGGTATACATCATTCTTTGGAGTCCCATTATATCCCCTCTGAAAATCTTTTTTAAGTGTTTCCCGAACAAGCAGCTGATCTGGGGAGCCTCAGTCCAAAAATTCTGCTGAAAATATGTATATCCCAAACAGTCACCGATCAATCCGTCTTGTTATAAGTATGAAATGAGAAAATATAGGGATTCAGGTGCATATTATTTTTTTTAATGAGACTACAACGATTCTGAAAATGCATATGGTTTCTAGATACTTTTCCAAACCATTATGAGAGACTTCCAGAGAATATTCGAATCAAACTCTTTTGAAATTCAATTATTTCAAACAAATTATGGTTGCTAAGTGCTTTCCCAAATTATTGTTCTGACAGACTTCACGAAAATTAAACAACATTTAAATCACAACCAATGAAATCCAATTGTTCCATATATTAAAAGCTTGGGTCAACATGTTTCCAAAAATATATGGTTGTTATGTATTTTTCTTTATAAAAAAAAGAGTCTTTCAAGAAATTTTAGATAATTATGATATCGTGATATCGTGCGAACACTCTTTAAATAGGTGCACGAGAAAGCTAAGTTATTATATTTTTTTTTTTGTTGCATTCATATCGACACCGACATAGTGTCCTGTTGTCAATGGACAACATTGTGAGCTAAGCATCTTGGTACATGTGTTATATATATAATCATCTTCTTTTTTGATAAACGAAAAAAAGAAGATTCGCACATTTGAAAAAAAAAAAATTATTGCTGTAATTTCATCTCAAAGTTACAATAAGGACTACGTCTTTTTATAACCTGAATAGTTTATCTTAAAGACAACTTAGTTTGATAAATGACTTAATCTAATACTCAACTAGCAAACGAAACTTACAAAAATAACAATGCGTATACATTATTGTACCAATAAAACATTAAAGAAATGTTCCTTATAGGCCTGGCTAAATCCGTACACACTTCTAATTATCTACAGAATTCGTATTTTACATACAAAACACGAATGTACTGTTGCTTCATGTTTAATTGGTTTTTATCATAGTATTGACCATATTGTTTTTTAACAACACGATAAGATATTTAGATAAAACTAAATGTAAAAAATATGATCTTATTTAGGATTGGTATATACGCAGGAGTGATTGTTCCGCCAGATGGATGTGCGATTTTAAAAGGAGAAAAATGTGCTTTTGAGTTTGTATCTGCCAGAGATCATACCATCAAATGTGAAGCACACATATTTGGATAAATATATTTTTACATCTATGGAAATTGAATAGAATATTATAGAAAAATGCAAAGACACTTTCTACGTCAAGTGATTCTATGTATTGGCGGACAGGAGATGCATGTAAATAGTTACAATAAACATAGTTTACTTTTGCTTAAAATTGTTGGTGTTATTATATATACGCCCATTGTTTACCTATGCTCAAAAGCCTTAGTTTTATTATATATTGTACTGAAGTGAAATATCCCGGTTAAACCTGTAATTTGATTGGTTACTTAGACAGGGGATATGAACCCATATCCCATGTAAAGGAAAACAAAGAACCCATATCCCATGTAAAGGAAAATAAAGATAACATAGTAATTAGTGTTGAAATCAGGGCACTCTAGTAAAATTTGATTGTTATTCGGACTCCACGGGGGATATGGGGTTATATTCCCTGTCAGTGCCCTATATCCCCTTTGCTGGCGGCTCTAGAGATATGAAACTCTGACAGGGAATATGAACCCATATTCCCTTAGAAGATCCACAATAACATACAATATTCCAATGGGTTGCCTTTGCTTAAAATTGTTAGTTATTATATACAACAATGGTTTACCTTTGCGAAAAACTGTTAGTGCTATATATTCCTATGGTTTACCTTTGCTTAGAATCATTAGTGTTTTTATATGTTTTTCTAATGTGCCGTTGTGTGTACGGAAATTTGTGAAGCTTAGGCATCCAATACAAACAAGGTAAGTCCTCAGATTTGCTATTCAATGTAATATTCATTGAAGCCATGAAGGACTTATGATTCGACAATGTTTTATCCCTGTCAAATGATATGTTTTTGTATGTGGGATTACCTGTGTGCTAATTTATTCCTAATTCATTTACAAGACACTATTAGTAGTAGTACTATTTACATACACAAACAAAATTATTTGAAGCTTTGTCCGCAGGAACAACAACATATTTATCGAGAAGAGATGATTTTTTTCACAGCTTTTTTGTCTCCATTCTGACAAAGTGTCCAGTTCAACTTCTTCTCGTTTAGCCCATGCTCTGGCGTAGTCTTCAATGGAATCCATAATTATTTTGAAGTTATGGTTCCAATTAATGTGCTGGGGTTCTCTGAACTTAGGACCATGATATATCATCTTTCGGAGATGTTCATGTTGAATTATGTTTATAACCCTAGTAAAAACATGACCAGAGGGGCAGTAAATATAAGGCGAATGTGAACAGTCACATGACAGACGTTTATTTTAGGTGTTCTTCTAAATCAAGATCCCGTAATGTTTTCTAATAGTTAAATACTTTAGGTGCAATGATTTTGGTGTAGCTGTAGGATACAATAGAAACAGACTGATTTTGAAAATAAAGTGGAATTTTAGATGCAACCTCTTTGTGATGAAGAACGTTGCTGATGTTAATGCACTGTAGCAGCGATTTCTTTATTAGATAAACTGTTGTCACAGAGATATGTCTCGCTTTTTTGTAATTTTGATTGTGCAAATGTTGAAATTAAAATAGTAATACTTTAACATGTAAGTTATGCAAATATTCAAAGTCAATGAACCATGAATGAAGGTACATGGCTAAACAATCTCCATGGAAATGAGATGTGCTAATGCTAATGCAACTGCATACCAAATACCATTGACTTATTATAAGTCGTTCCCTTTAAACAAACCTAAACACAAACATTAACTTGTAAACTATGTAAAAGTTTTAAAACCAATGAACCATGATGAGGGGGTGGGGCTATATAATCTCCATGAAAACGATACTTCCACATGCCAATAAATTTGCATACCAAATAACATTGACTTAACATTAGCAGTTCATCTTAAGCTGATCTAATCACAAACTTATACATGTAAACTAAGCAAAAGTTTCAAAGTCAATAGACCATGACTGAGGAGGCGAGGCCAAATATTCTCCATGGAAATGAGATGTGCTAATGCTTTTACAACTGAATACCAATTAACACTGGCCTACCACTAATGGCCCCCTTGAAGTGACCTAATCACAAACTTATACATGTAAACTAAGAAAAATTTTCAAAGTAAATAGACCATGACTGAGGGGGCAGGGCCAAATAATCTCCATGGGAATGAGATATGGCAATACTAATACAACTGCATACCAAACATCATTGACCTACCACTTGTAGTTCACCATAAACTAGACCTAATCACAAACTAATACATTGTTGACGCCGCCGCCGACGCCGGAAACAGCATACCTATGTCTCGCTTTTTGACTCTGTCAAGGCGAGACAAAAACTGGAAGGAATTGCATCATGTAATAGTTCATATCTTACTGGTTTAAAAAGACGGAAAAGAGCTATATCACAAATTATGCTGACCAGTCTGTATATTGGAGAAAATGTGTTTGTGCATCCCTTGTCAAGTGCACAATTACTCAAACATTTTAGAAAACTAACAGACAGTGAACACAAAATAGTTCTAATGTAATGTAACCGTAGCGGATGAGGAAGATGTGAAAGAAAGTCATCAAAGCTCCAAGAAAGCGATCTTGATTTTGAAAACTTTTATACATTGCACCGATGGTAATGTTTTGTTCATGACTGCCCTTGGGTCTTAAGTTAGTATCAAATAAGATCATTACATTTACATCACTGCAGGCTGGACATGACAAATTTCCTACTCCTTTGATGTTATAATTGCAACCATATGGCATTGCAGTTACCTAGTTCCCTAATCTACCGTGGCACTCGTCGTGTTGCTCAGTGTAAAAGTTCGACCCCGGTTTTTGGTTGGATTTTCGTTGCGCAATTGGTTTTTTTTTCGTTCTTTCTCTCCTGTGAATTGTTTTGTGGAAATATATTCGTCTGTCGGTGTTTTAATTTTTTCAACTTGTGATTTTCTATTGAAGCCTCTCGTATCTCGTCTCCCTTTTTTTTTTTGACAAAAACAAATATTTAAAAAGTTGGACGACAGAATATATATACAAAGTTTCGTTCGATTTAATTCCTTTATTTTCAAGAAGTAGTGGATATAACATGTATATAGAATATATAGAAATGGTAGAATATTGTACATGTTTTTTCTCTCTATTAGAAACCTCCAAAATCAATATAACCAGAATCAGAGATGTATAATACCATTTGGGAATGAAGATTTAACTGCAATTTAAGCACTGTTTGACATTGTTTGTCTATATACAAATGAAGAAACGACTTCATCAGTGGATTTGGCTTTTCTATCTTGTTTCCTTGCGTCACATAGCTCCTCATGTATTCAAGTATTTATATATACTCGGCTTTCAAATGTTTTGGTTTCACCATTCCTGATGAAGTTAAATCCCGAAAAGCGTTTCAAACGCACGGCATTTACATAAGGTCTATTTTCACTATTTTCATCAAGTTACTATAAATTGAGAATGGAAATGGGGAATATATCAAACAGACAACAACCCGACCAAAGAGCAAAATTTGAAAACAGCCGAAGGCCACCAATGGGTCCTCAACACAGCGAGAAAATCTCGCACCAGAAGGCGGGCTTCAGCTGGCCCCTAAATAAAAATGTGTACTAGTTCAGTGAAAATGGACGTCATACTAAACTCCAAAACATATAAATGAACTAAAATTAAAAAAACATACAAGACTAACAAAGGCCAGAGACTCCTGACTTGGGACAGGCGCAAAAATGCGGCGGAGTTAAACATGTTTTGTGAGATAGCTACTAGTCATCCAAAGAACCTAAATGATACTTAAAAAAATAATCAGAAAATGGTATGTCTACGAGTCAAGAAATATTCCCCTAACGTACTTACATTTTGATATGGATTCGGGCATAGCACATTGTATTGTATTTATCCTTGTGATGTAACAAACGTTTTTTCAGCGGTATTAAGATTGGTTTAATTAGTTAGAATTATACTCACCAAAATATCGAATGCAATTTTTATCTTCATAATCGGCACTAGAGTGTCCCTGGGGTGTTAATTCAAGAAAAAGAAATAAAGATTTTTTTTACCGTAAATTGGAACATTTTTTTACTTTTTTTAATGATAGTAAAAATGGTTCCTCTATGAATACACGTCATGATTTTGGTACTTAATAACGATTAAGTATTTATTTATCCTTGTGATGTAACAAACATTTTTTCAGATTTTTTTTAACGTAAATTGGAACATTTTTTTTACTTTTTTTCTATGAATACACGTCAAGATTTTGGTACTTAATAACGATTAAGTATTTATTTATCCTTGTGATGTAACAAACATTTTTTCAGATTTTTTTTTAACGTAAATTGGAACATTTTTTTACTTTTTTTAATGATAGTAAAAATGGTTCCTATTTGAATACACGTCATGATTTTGGTACTTAATAACGATTAAGTATTTATTTATCCTTGTGATGTAACAAACATTTTTTCAGCGGTATTAAAACTGGTTTAATTAGTTAGAATTGTACTCACCAAAATATCAAATGCAATTTTTATCTTCATAATCGGCACTAGAGTGTCCCTGGGGTGTTAATTCAAGAAAAAGAAATAAAGATTTTTTTAACGTAAATTGGAAATTTTTTTAATTTTTTTAATGATAGTAAAAATAGTTCCTCTATGAATACACGTCATGATTTTGGTACTTGATAACGTAGGGAAATCACAAAAAAAAATTTAAAGGTACTAGTCAATATGTATCTAATTATAACATATCTATACGAATTAATGAAGGAAGAGAGGTTATATGACTTTAATTTTGTTAATTTTAAAATCTCTAATCACTGTCCACAATGAGATGACTTAGTATGCCAATCATTTGTGATTTTCTTATTGAAAAGTGAGGATAGCCATTTCCTGTCCTCAATGCATTCAAGTATGTATCTATTTGAATCCAATAAGGTTAGGCGCGTACCTACTGTGAATACTTTAGATTTTGTATTTCTTATTTTTTTAATTCCTAAAAATTTAAATTAAAAATATTAAATTGTACCAATGGATGTACATTTGGATGATTGAAGGTCTTTAAAATAAGTTGTTTTCCATTCTGAGAGAAAAACAGATGTAGTATTCTAGTATCACTTACAAATATGAACCATGAACACAGGATCTGCATTTTTTGACTGAGTGGGTTTTTCTGAAAGAAAATATTGTCTAT